GAAGAACTGCGAAATATTCTTGAACATCGTCGTCCTTGCAACTCGAGAGAGTTTCTCTCTTGGCCGGTATCGGATAAAAAGATAAGAATTATTAATGCTGAGAATGCGCTCGCGAAGTGCAGCAGCGTTGTGTTTATACTAGGTATCTGCAAGCTGCGACTGTTTATCTGACCAAAAATCTTGTAGTTTGCGAAGAATTGTGAAACAAATTTCCCATTCACGAATATTTAATGGAAAAACATTATCTGATAGAATTTTTTATTGTCGATGTTAAATATCTTCATAATAGAATTAATTTAAAATTCTATTAATGATAATATACTAACGCGCAAAGGTGACATATTGAATAAAATAAATTTTAATATTTTAATTATTTTTTGTTATGTTTTATTTACATAATTTTTGGACAATTTTATTTGGAGGAGTGTCCTATATTACATCTATTTCAATTTCTATTTTAATTTAGCAATCTTTTATTTTGTTTTATTTTTCAGCTTGTTTTTAATATACATGTACACAAAATGTAATAAATTTTAAAATTTTTATTGTCCCTTGCTTTATTTTTGCAAAACGAATTCTTTTAAATATTACATGCGTTCTCTTTAGGAGAAGTGTTGATTTATGGCATCAGAGTTCAAGAGAGAGTTGTGTTAGAATGATCGCGAAACGCGAGCTATTGTGTAGGGGCTTGTAGTTTAACTCGCGGAAATTGACGATGAATGAACGCGATGCACTGCTTAATTGGATCGGCATTTCCGAGGACTATCAGCCGGTCAGTCGAAACTATCTCGCTTGTGCCACGTTATACCACCGACTATACATTCTCATGTTCTTGTCGCTATAGCACAGGGTTGAAATTCCTTCCGCTCCGGCTTTTACGCTATTTATTATTAACATACTTATTAATTGAAATTGATATCACAAACGCTCGATATTCCCTGATGCTTTTTCGCTTACCTATCACTGTGAACTACTAATTAATTTCTGCTAAATTTTACATATGAGATATTTTGAAATTATCAGAAATAAAACTTTAGAAGTAGATTTTTCTCGATTACAATATCAAAAATTTCTAAATTATTATTAATGATTGAAAATAAAGAGCTTCTTGCATATTAAAGAGATTGAGAAAATTAATTTAATTATAGATTCCATCATACTCTTAATTGTTTTTAAAATTTTAATTTTAATTTTTATGTATTTTTTTGTTTCACATATTTATTTTCCAATTTTATATTTTTCATTTTATTATTAATCATATTTTTAAAAATTATACAAATAAAATAACTGATCGATACAAAATATAGCACTTTGTCCGTTATTCTACAAGTATTTTCAAGACATCTCAGAATTCTCGAAGCACTTTTAACTCGAAGAGAAACTCTGGTTTTTGTCTGTTTTCGTCTATAAAAGTCGTTCAATTTATCCTTTCGTAAAGACGACGCGAGAGCACAAGCTGTCGACCGGAAGAAGACTCCTGATAGTTGAATCCCTTGTGAGCAACATCGACTATCAGCGGCTCGTGACCTATCGATTCGCAATACTCCATATCAAAGTGTTCGCGATTGGAGTATCGGAATTGCGCCGAAATTGCGCCTCGCAATCGATAAGCGCGGAAATCGCGCGCTTTCTCGACGATTTAGTCGAGATCCCCTTCTCGAATCGACGATCCAACTACTTCTCGCCACATGTCGAAAATCTTATTCGCTTGTTCCCGGAAAAGCCTTTTCGTGTTTTAACATTGTCAAGATCTGTTATCCACGAAGGATATTCTCAGGACGGATTCTTCTTTTAGTAGTAACGATGGTTTGCGCTTGAGGGCAAAAGGGAGAGAAAGAGGGTGCTATCTAAATACAATTATATCTAGTGTACGTGTTCTACGTATTCACACCCCGAGGATGTAATTCTTGGATATATACATATATATAGCATACTTTAGTAGTTCACAGTGACAGGTAATATACATATATAATATTAACTATAATAATTAAGCACAAGTGCACGTGCGAGATCTAACAGAAGCTGCTCTTAATTCTAATAAGTTTGACGAATTTAAAATAGATTGTTTTTTTTTATTAAAATGAGTAATAATTTCTGAGTTATGATTTATAAATTTTAAAAATAATAAAAGATAAAATAAAAAATAAAATCTTATTTGAAGTATCGAAATGATAATCATTTCTAAATCAAGATTAAGAGTAAAAAGCGACCGCTAAAAATCTAATTAATTTTTTTCTATGAAATTTAGTTATCATAATATTGATAAAATTTAAAAAGTATAAAAAAATGACGATAATTAACAATTGTGTTGGAAATTTGTCTTAATCGAAAGTCTCTGAATTAAATATACCAGGCAATTTATTGTAAAGATTAAAGGTGCAGAATTGAGCAGCGTGTGCGAATGCGCTTTCCATAGAATCGCTATACTTTTGCCGCAGCCTTCGATCAAAAGTCGCCGCATGCAATTCGCGGCGACCCGACACCGTTCAAGACTCGTCGCGGCCGTTAAAACGCTAGCGATCGAGAAAGTTTGCGAATTTATCGCCTTAATCTTGTCCGAGAATATTTATGACTGGTCCGGCCCCGAACGGCCGGCCGGTCGCGAAAGTTGCCTTCGTTTCGTGCGAAACTCGCGCGTTTACACCAAAGCTCTCGTCCGGCTTTGTGACCATCGCTATCATCTTCTCTTTCCATCCCTCTGCGATCCACCCTGAAACCTATGCAAAGTCGACTGTTGTTTTTGGATGCACGCGAACGAATTGCACGTGGGATGTAAATCCGCAGGAAGACATCCGACCGAGCCGAAACTTGGCGGATAATAGTGAGTCTGCTCGCTAGATCCGCTCGCGGAAAACTTGCGACAGCGTTAAACTTTAAATGGCACCATCTCTGCATTTTACAAGTCGTATTATAGGAAAAGTTCGCCGAACGAGCAGACATGGCATGGACTTATTATGAGGGATGGATTAAGCGAACGAACATTTTAAAACATTTGCATTGGTGTTCCTCAGCTGCTCCTTTATTTTCGCATTTATATATACTGAACACGAACTCTCTTTGATGTACCATCTTATGAGCTAATAGGGCAGAATCGAAGCTTTAAGATATGTCAAATATACATGCTCAGTCGTGTTTAGAATTGTTTCTTGTGGTTCGGGACATTCGCCTTCGAATGTTACATCGATGTAGAAAGCAGAATTTAAAAATCTTGAAATTTGAAAAAATTCATTTTTGACAGTTTTGTTTAAACTGCTGTATTTTTTAAAGTGTGTAACTTAAAGCGAAACGAAATTCACTTCACACATCTGTAAACGATTCTTAATAAGACTGCTGATTTGGATTTGCGTTATTTTAAATTTTGGGAAAAACTTGAACTTTTGATTTTTCCGCTGACAAAGATTTTGTTCATAATTATTCGAACTAACGTGATCATGCGCGTATTCGCGATTTACATAATCATGTATAAAATAATTTTCATTATTAGAAGATATTACCTGACTAACAAAGTCTGATTTAGATTGAAATGCTTTCAAATATAGGTATATACATTATCTTCTTGCCACTCTTATCTTCAGTTTTAATTTCATATGTCATCATGATTGTCAGCACACTTCGCTGGTTATCCGATATTTTTTATTATGTTTTTTATGCATTTAATAATATTGAATTCCTTTCTATACAAAATTTATAAATTATAACTACTTATATCATAATAGCCATTACTTTTTTAGAATATTATTTATATTTATGACATGAAATATTTAGAAACTTTAGAATTAAAAGTAATGGAAATTATATTTTAATTATGTTTTAGTTATATATCAATTGTTATGGTTTTGACCAACCTATCATCTATTTTGATAATTTTCTTTTTATTCTATATTATTTATTTTCTGTATTTGTTTTTTATTAACCGCTTAATTCGTAAAACTTTAAGATTATTACTTATTCTTTCATTTAATTAATTTAGCAACATTATATTAACTAATTAAACTTCAACGTTCCTATTTGTTAAAATTGTAAAATAATTCTTAAGTTAATAATATACGAACTTTATTACCACATTTTATGAATTAATTAACAGAATGAGTTTTATGTTAACGTAAATTACATATAATATTCTGCGTTATTCAAGTCTTCTTTACAAAGCCTTAAAAATATTTATTACTAAATATATTTATAATATAAAATATTATGTGCCAATAAAATAAAACTTAACGACAAATGTATCTTTTTAATTTTTTATATAGTCTTTTTATTTACGTATAAAATTATGTATTAAAATGCAAATAATTTTTATTGTCAATATTATGTATTCTAATATTATGCAAGGTTAGTATTATAAATTTGGAAGTTAGTATTAGGTTAGAGTATTATTCATTATTATACATAGGCTAGTATCATACATTTTAAAATACGTGTACATATATATGTATATTCTTTTAAACAATAAAATTAGCCTATTTCTGATTTTCAGTGAACGAAAATATCACAATATCAATAAATTTCGATTTACAATTTGAAAAAAAAAAAGATTGTTTTTTTATTAATTGGAGAATACAAATACCAATACGTTTCTTGGTTAATTTTATTGAAGTTAATTGAATAGAATTTAATAAAATGTTAAAAATTTAGTGTTAATTCGAAATTTAGATATTTGGTAACGTAATGACATAAATTTTTGTATATTTATACAATATTTTAATATCAAAGAAAATAATACTTATAAATATATATGTATTAATAATTATATACATATATAATATATATTATATATGTATATATATATATATATATATATATATATATATATATATATATATATATATATATATATAATATAATATATATATATATATATATATATATATGTATGTATATGTATATGTGTGTATATTTATAATTATTTTGCTTGACATTTTTGTCATGAAAAAGACATTTCAAATCGATTAAAAAAATTATAATTAAAAGGATCATTGATGGCTCTTTGAAACATCTTGTCTATATATCTCAGTCTGTTTATTAATATGACATAATTTTGATAATCGTGAAATATAACACTTCCTGATTATCACGGCATATTTACAACTCTCACTCGATCGACTTTTCCATTGGGAAGGTATGGTATTTTTTTAACGAACTCTATTACTTTAATCTTATAATTATAGTCCATAAGATTACGTTTCACAAATCTCCTCAGCTTTTTCCTCTTTATCTATAAGATACTATAATGTAAATTTTCGGTAAACAGATTCGCTCGATTTTATGAGAACAAAAAACAACCTTTGTGCCTGGTTTTAGTACAACAAATGCTATCGGGTAATTTTTGACTGGTCTCTCGTCAGTACTCATACCTGCTGCGGCGGCTTCGGACACAAACGGATGAAGTACTAATGTTTCCTCGATTTTTGTCAGTGAAAGAAAAATATTTTGTTTATATTCAATAACATCTCTCGAATTACCAATGACATGAACTTTGCCATATTCATTAAAGTAGCCTATATCTTCGGTATAATACCATCCTAAGAAATATACATTATATCATTTTTATCTCCATTAATCATCTGTACAATTTCAGAATTTTGTAAACCATTTTAGAAATAATGATTATAAGATAAATTAAAGAGAACTCAAACGGACCTTCGTTTATACGTTTCTCATCGTCTTTACTTGCTAAATGTTTTGCTGAATTTGAGGTTTGTATTATGCACGGAGTTTTGCACCAAATCTCGCCAACACTGTTTTCTCCCACCTGTTTTCTCGTTTCTAAATTAACAATCATCAATTGAACATTTTTACTGACGTAACCACTAGATTTGTTGCTAGTATTGCTGCTAGTACTGCTAATACTGCTATTAGAGTTGCTACTAGTACTGCAAACAGTAGGTGCAATCCTTTCAATGTCCTTTATATTGATGATAATTTTGTTAATATTGCTAATATTGCTAGTAGTACTAAAGTTTCGCTCATAAGCGATGACTCCTGTTTCCGAAAGAGCTGAAACCCAAAGATTGTTGATTTTAGATATATCGTTAAATATTGATTACAACAATTCTAATAAGCATACACACCGTATACTTTAATGATGGACACATTTGGCAAAAATTGGATGAGATTTTCATGAATATTTTTTCTAATTTCTGCATCGCCGAATAGCATTGTTCTCAAGGAAGAGACATCATATTTCTTAAAAACTTTAAAATGATGAATCTTAGATAATTTATTATACATGTTGCTTTCAAGAAACACCCACTTTACCTGAAAATAACGATCAAGTCAACTGTTAATGCTATTTTTTCTTAAGTAAATTTATTAAATAAAAAAGAAAGGAGGAGATATTATATTTTTTTTTGAGTCGCAAATTTTTTCAAGTTACCTTATACTTCTGTACTATTTGGCATAAATTTTCCTCGCTGTAGTCTCTCGATGATTTGACCACTGTCACATTCGAAAGTATAGCACGAATAGTTAACAGTAGATTGTGAGACCAATTTATAGATCCGTACCAAAGACCTACGTCGCCATATCTCATAACCGGTGTTCCATTGTTCGAAGGAGACTGAAAAGCTTGATAAGGAATCCGCACGTGGCCAGGAAAACCTGACGCATTGGAAGAATACATTAGTATCGCAGCCTCTATTCCTTTATTACCGGTGCACTTAAACTTATTGATAGTGGAGTCATCAGATTCGTTGTCCGAAATTGAGTATAGAGTTGGGTATTCTTCATGTTGCTTATCGAGTATTATTACTTTCGGTGAAAATTCTCTTCTAAAAAACTTTACGGTCATAATAGAGTTTTGGATTTTAGAAAGTTTTCCTCGTCGACAAAGATAATGTCCGGATTAGTTTCCAGTAGAAAATAAATAATTCTTATCGAATCTAAAAAGTATTTGTTATTAAGTAAATGGAAGAGACGCATATATAGAAATATGTGATAAAAAATAAATTATTTCTCAATTTTTTTTTCACGAAGATAGATCGGATATATATATATATATATTTACCCCCTAAATATTTGAAATCCCACATATTCACAAGAATGTCAAGAAATATGCCCGCCAAAAGCGGCACGTAGGCTAACATGTGATTACGGGTGCATATCGTTAATACGCTGTCTTTTGTAACGTCTAATTTCTGTAGACCTAATGCCAATCTCACGCTTTTGTCTTTCATCTCCTTGAATGTGACTTTTTCTCCAGTTTCTGCGTTTATCTGCAAAAATATGTTAATTGCATTTTCATTAAATGGTAGAACATCATGATTTTATTTTCTTAATAATAACGAATGTCTCCTCTCTACTCCTGTTGATTCGCTATCATATGTTATTGTTTAATAAATCTTTATATTAAAATGTGTTACCTGGCCAATAAAATTCGGCGTGTCAATAAATGAACTCAAAATCGAATTTCCGAGAGGTACATAATCAAATGACTCGTATGGGCCAAATAAGATATTGTTCTTCTTTTTGAATAGAACTTCGTTGATGCATTTCTAAAAATAAACTTTATTAGTAATATTTCTTCATTAATAATACATCTATTTACCTTATTTATAATCTTATGAAATTTTATGGATTTTAATTTTAATATACAGGGTGTTTGGAGACGATTTTTTCTTAGCAAAAATATCAAGAGAGGTAATCATTTTTTACAACTTTCCCATATTTGTCATTATGTATCTTTGTAATTCAGCCTCAAATTAAAATTTTATTAAAGTAAACTCCACCTGAAATTAACTGAAGAATGTAATTATGTTACATTTTTAACTTCACAACGTTTAGTTTTCAAGAAATCCATTTTTTTCAATCGCTTATAACTCAAAAATTGTTGATTTCTCAACATTTTTGCTAAGGACAAATCGTCTCCAAATTAACCAGAGAATCCGCTTAAATTTAAACACCCTGTATATTTTTTACCAGTTTTTGCTTGTTAGTTTGCTGGTATCGAGGCATTTCTTCAGTCAGATGAACGTTAAAAACTAGCGATCAGGGATTGTGTTATCTGTGTAGATGAGATGAGAATGTTACGATTAATGTGAAGACGATTATTGTTAGTTCCACAATAGATGATTGTTTGTAATTATGATGTGTATCGACTTTAAAAGGGGTCACAAATTGAAAATATTTTGCTCAGGCGACTGAACGTGCAGGCTTCAAAACGTGTAACAAATTTTATATTTTTATATTTATGTTGAATATTTCGATTATTACTATATATAATATTATATATATATATATATATATATATATATATATATATATTATATATAGTAAAAAGCAGGTGCAATTTGGACGAGCGTCAAATTGAATGCAAGAAAAAATATTCAACATAAATATAAAATTCTTATATTAAATTTTTATATATATATATATATATCGGAAGAAAAATTGTATCTTGCTTTCGATATCAATATACATATTATATCGATATACATAGCAATCTGGATTGATTGCACCTCCTTAACGTAACAAAACCGATTGACGTTTGATTGAGGAAAATTTATTTCGGTAGCGATGATTCGTTTCGCGTATATATCCGCGCGAATTGTGTACCATGTAGGTACGGATAACAAATCATGCGTCGAAATGCAGGATGAATTATGCTATACGCTTCCGTGTGCATCTGATATTCCATAACCAGGAACACAGCTCGCGATGATCGACCTTTCTCTCGTTTTTCCACCAGCGATATGTCCGAAATGTCGATACGTCTTAAGCTTTGAACACGTTTATGGAATTAATGCATTGTGTTCGAAAAATGGATTTTTGATTGCGATACGCCGAAGTGATATATACATATATATCGTTAAAGAAAAACGCTTATGAATATTTTGTTATTTTAATTGAATATAAATGATATAATTGTATATTTAAATATGTGTTGATGTATTTTTATCTATGTGATTAGACATTATTAAAGTGTGATTGTAGATTAATAAGATTGATATAGATTTTTAAATAAAATTAATTTTCCGACTGTTACATTTTTTTATATGAAAGAAATGAAAATTTTTTTAAATTATTTTGATAATATTTTTTGCATTTATTTATGATATACATATATGAAATATCGTTACGCTATATCAATTTTTTATTATTTTTTTTTTTGTTAATCTTTTCATCTTCATCGAAGAAACCGTGAGAGAAAGTCTAAAGACTATCGTACTGATGATCGCGAGTTGACCTGATGTTAGAAATACGAATAGGTACTTGCACAAATCATACATCAATTATCCCGTTTTTTGCTATTCATCGCTTTATTAGCGTTGACGTGTCGCGCAAAGAAAATTAAAATATAAGAGAAAAAAATATCGACATTATGCGAGAGAGGGATAATGGAGCTTAAAATATTCTGTTGGAAGAAAGGGAGAATGCAACGCTAGCATTGTGCGAATCGTTTCTTGAAATATGATACAACTTCTAAACCAACTATTGCCACTGCTTTTGTCCCGGCGAACAAAAACATTGTCTGTAGAAATTTTCTTCTCTTACTCTTTCTCATTTTCTCAAAGAAATTCATTTTATGTGCGTCACGGGAATTATATTGTGCTTTCGAAGGACGCACACGGGGGGGTAAAATCCAAAGTGTTACAATTCTAGATAAAATTGTATTTCAAGATTGATCAAATCTGTCGTCTCAGCAAAACACGGCTAAATAATATAACAAATAACTAGACAGAGAAGAATAAGAATAAAATGAAGAAATATTTAAAAATAGAAAAATATTTGCCAAGCAATATTTGTCTAATGATACTACAAAACTAAAACATATTTGTTTGATTTAATTTTTATATCTTATTCGAATTATATTATATCTCGAGATAATTTTATATATCCAAAATTGTTTTTACGTTACAGTCATGAATTGAAACTTAAAATAATTAAAAAAATATATTATATTTTATTTTCAACATAATACAAAACAGTAATAAAAATTCTAAGTCCATGACTGTACTTATTGTTAATTATAATTTAAAGAAATTAAAAAATTATCAAGTGTCTTTTCGATAAACAAACAAACAATTAAATTATCAGTAGCTTAAAGTTAATTTGGTGTAAATATACATATTGTTTAACTAGTGTTTATTTAGTGAAATTAAAAGAATTTTGAAATTTTTTTTTTCTCTTTTATCTTTTATTGTTTTGTACTGTTGGAAATAAAATAATACGCTTCGTAATTATTTTAAATTTCAACCCAAACATGATTAACATTAAAACGCATTTTGGATGCATTTTTGGACACATGTTTATATGAATTTTTTTGTTCATTTTGAGTAGAATATTCAGTTGAATTATGAGTCCATATTTTTGTTACACTCTTTATCTATTTGCAAAACTATCTTTTGATTTCTTCATTCTTTTATCTTACATTATGTACTAATATATGAATTAATTTCGTTCCGGATTGTTTAAATTTAAATTGCAATAGCATCTTAAACGCTGAAAGTTATCTACTTCGTTACGTGATCGATCGTTGTAAGTGGCGCGATTTAACCAGCCCGCCGGGGATTTAGCGATGGAATTTTCCAAAATTCGAGAACGGCCGAATATCCGATGGGAATTGCAAATTCTCCAACTACTTCGGTACCGTTACGAGCGGGCGTTTCCGTTCGTATACGTTCTGTATGCGTTACCCTCGTATGTGCATATTGGTGTATGTATATACACATGGCTCGAGGGTGAGAAGCAAAATAAAGCCCACATGGTACAAGTAATTTTTTACATAAATTTAGTTTGCTTGTTGTGTGTGAAAAATTTAAGTTATAAATTATTTATATTATTTTTATAAATATGATGTTTTTTTAAATCGACCAACAGAGCCAAAGCACGAAAAATTAATTATTCGGAACTGTATCTCTTGGTTTGAGATCACTAAGTTCCATATATAAATTAAGGGGATGCCGGAGCGATGGCCGAACTCCGATAAGTTAGCACCACACATATCTAAACATATGCACGTATACAACACATACGCGTAAAAATGTTTTTAATATATAATTTTTTTTAGACTTGCAATCTCACTTTTAATCGTTTACTAATAATTCTTCATATTATCCTTACCGCGTATACTTCATGCACAGACAAACTGCAGAACCTTTTTATTAAATAAGTATTATTACGAACTGACACAAAGAAGCCGATAACAAAACTGTAATTTTTGATTTTTATATGATTTATATATGCAAACATAGCTAGCGCGGTCCGTTTTTATAAGTACTTTAATCGTGGAAAAGGATTTATTGATCAGTTTAGTCAATAAAAAGTTATATAAAAAAACTAAATATTCTCGCATTCGGTCGGTAAAAACATCATCCGGCATCTTGAAATTTACATGTGGAGAAATAGGCGCGAAATATAAAAGGTCCAAAAAGTGGCGGCAATCGAACCCACGTCTTTCACTTTCCGGGCGACTGCTCTTATTAATCCATTCAGACCCTTTCGATCCTATATTTTTCATTTGCCTTTTAGTAGATGTTAGTATCCGAATAATTAATTTTTCGTGCTTTGGCTCTGTTGGCCGATTTAAAAAATATCATATTTATATTCTTAATATTGAGAGCCGATAAAAATATTTCTTTCTGATTATATTATTTTTATTGTGAATTTTTTATTATTAATAATAATTTTTCATAAAGACAAAATATGTTCGAACAATTTGCATAAAAATGCGTGAGAACAAGGATTTCAAATTATTATGCAATACCTCGAATGTTTTACTAAAATAACAACACCCTTTTTGCAAAATTGCAATTATATGCAAAGAAATAATAGCAATCACGTTTTAAAAATTTTTTTAGATATTTCTTACAAGGAAATTTGAAAATATATTTAAATGAAATGCTTTATTATGGTATATAATATATCGCAAATTTGAGAATTTCTTTTTTTAACTAAGTTTCAATAACAGGCTTTGTAATATAAATATATAGATCTAAATCGTAAGAAGGCGTGAAGAGCTAAAAACGCGGATGTTGCGATCAAACCAACCTTCTTACGATTTAGATTTATTTTTTTTTTTTTACAAGAAAATCTAGTAGCCTAACCTAGTAAATCTAGATTAATATATTTTTGGAAAAAAAGAACAGATAAAAAATATTTCATTACTATGAACAATTTATCATAAGGATCTATTTGATTAGTCACGTATCTACGAAAAGATGCACATGCACACTTTTCCAATAATCCAAGATTACGTATACTCACTAGATTTTTTATCCAACGTTTCTTTGTAACAGATGCCTAAAATTAAATAATTATAATATTATTTAACATTATCTAAATAATTCATTGAATGTGTTTAGTATTTAAAATTATCGAAAAGTTTAAAATTATTATAAACACTTACAAAAAGAACACTGTTTCGTGCACGTGGAAGATGAACAACGTGAACACGTTCTACTGTTCTACGGTTAAAATAGTTCGAGAATCATGTTCTTTCGTGTTCTACTGGCGTTATATGGCGATTGGCGTAACAATTTGCACCTGTACCTCAAATTAGGAACTATGCATTCAAGTGCATATCAATTTTTGTCGATCAATAGTTTCGTCGAACATTGAAGAGCTTAAAGATATTATGAAGATCGACTATTTGTTGACTAAATCGACTAAATTATTTAGTCGAGGACTTGTGCACACTATAGTCTTTATAAAAAGTATTTATAACAAATCGTTCGCGCTGCTCGATATCGATTCGAATAAATATCGATTTTTGTCAATCGATAGTTTCGTTAAACATTGAAGAGCTTAGAGATATTATGATGATCGACTATTTGTCAACTAAATTATTTAGTCGAGGACTTGTGCACACTACAGTTTTTATAAAAAGTATTTATAACAAATCATTCGCGCTCGATATCGATTCGAATAAATATAGATTTTTGTCAATCGATAGTTTCATCAAACATTGAAGAGCTTAGAGATATTATGAAGATCGACTATTTGTTAACTAAATCGACTAAATTATTTAGTCGAGGACTTGTGCACACTATAGTCTTTATAAAAAGTATTTATAACAAATCGTTCGCGCTGCTCGATATCGATTCGAATAAATATCGATCTATCGCAGACTACGGCGCCCTAGCTCTACTCGTATTATGGAAACGTGACAAAAATCATTATTTACCTACTAATGATCACACAAAACTTATATGCATTAATATGTGCATTAAAAAACACATAAATAATTTTTATCACTATAAATAATTCGACAATATTAATTCTTTATCGAGCAACAAAAAAGTGCGCGTAACACTGCCCATTATTATACAAAATATCATTTTATTATACGATTCATTCCTTCACATCTTACACTTAAGGGAATGCTGCCGTTGTCCTGTTTTACTGATTTTAAGTCAGGCTAGATTAACTTTTTATTGAATATACAGTTTGAAAAATCCTCTACAATAAAAATACTGACAATAATAAATGGCGAGCGCTGTCCGGCAATTAATTTTTGCTGTTTTATGCCTCAACATCGATTCCGCGCACGCAAATATACATACATAATTATTAATTCAAGTACGAATCTTTTGATACAGTCTTTTAATCTCATTTTTATTACCTCCGTATTATTCTTTCATGTCATCTCTATTGGGAGCGCCATATTTTGTGCACAAATAAACCGCAGAATTTTTATATGAAATAAATATTGTTATGAGCTGATGCAAGAGATCGATAAAAAAACTTTAATTTTTAAATGTTTCTTCTTGTTTTTTTTATATGAAATTACAGCGCTCCTTGTTCATTATTATCAGTATTTTAATTGCGGAGGAGGATTTTTCAATCTGTATAGCCAATAAAAAGAAAAGCCCTTGAACTCAAAGTCAGTGAAACAGTCATGGTCAACATCTGCTTAAAAAGTGCAATAAATTTATCTCGTTCCCATGAAAAAGCCTTATCAAAATTTCTCGGGCACATAATTATACTATACGTATTTAGTTATCTGACGAAGACAACTCCTTCGGGGACTCATCATTATGGAAGCTATCTTTTTTACCGTGCGCCACAGGCTTAAGGGTGAAAGGTAACGGCGAGTGCTTATAGGGAAACGGGTCGAATACCGCGATTCTCATGGAGGCTACTCCATGAAATATTCAACACGCCCGCGGGGCACGCCGTCATTGCTTTTGTAGGAACGTAACCACCGCCGCCAACATCGCCATCCCATTCGTCGCGACGACACGTCGGTGTCCGTCGACTGGCTGCATTATCTTCCTTCATTCCTCCGGGCGATCAAGCCGGCTCTCTCCCGCGTGTATTTACGATACGTCGAGACACTATTTATGTGTGTAAGCACCACGATCTTCGATTCGCACTTGCTTGTTAATTTTCACTCGAATTTGCAATCGATCAGGCGTACTATACGCACAAAAGTGTCAAGTTGATGAAAACGTGTCATAACACCCACGATGAGTTTGGGAACGCATAAGGAACGCACAAAAGGATTTTTTCCGCGTTCTGAAACTTATTGAAAAAGGAACCTTGGAGTTGGATAAATGGAAGGTCCAAAATATCACAAATCGCTTTCTTTATTTATGTCTTTTTATTAAAATGTGACATTTAATTAAATATAAATTTATGGAGATCTATTAAGAATTTAGGAAAAATTCTAGAAGCAAAATAAATAATTACACAGGAGAGAAATAATTATAGAAAGCAGAAAGTATATATAATGTGTGTAAGCACCACGATCTTCGATTCGCACTTGCTTGTTAATCTTCACTCGAATTTGCATCCGATCAGGCGTACTATAAGCACAAAAGTGTCAAGTTGATGAAAACGTGTCATAACACCCACGATGAGTTTGGGAACGCATAAGGAACGCACAAAAGGATTTTTTCCGCGTTCTGAAACTTATTGAAAAAAGAACCCTTGGAGTTGGATAAATGGAAGGTCCAAAATATCACAAATCGCTTTCTTTATTTATGTCTTTTTATTAAAATGTGACATTTAATTAAATATAATTTTATGGAGATCTGTTAAGAATTTAGGAAAAATTCTAGAAGCAAAATAAATAATTACACAGGAGAGAAATAATAATTTTAATTAAATTAACGAATTCGGGCATAAACATTGATACGGTTCTATAATTATTCAATATATATTAATTAAAGCATGAAAAATATTTTATATTAGAGATGGTATATTATCGATTGGAATACATTCTATAATTGCAAGTTATGAACGTCACCACTTACTCTTCACTTTTTAATTATTCTATAATTATATAGAAATTTGTTACAAATCACGCTTCTCCCTCGCTTCACCTTATCTCTTATAAATATACTTTCTGCTTTCTATAATTAAGAGTGACACCAGCAACACGTTGAAATAAATTGCATGCTTTCGAAACAATTTTTCTTCGCACAAGACTTTCAATGGTGATGCTGAAGAGTTTCCTTGCGCCGCGAATTAATTTGCCAAATCGGAGAAATGCACATTTTCCGGTAAAGCGAGCGAGAAATAAGAGAAAAATCTCCTTGGTCTAGTGAGGCACGAAGTAGTTTTTTCGCTCTCGAACCGGTGGAAGCTGTATGTACTTCAGACGTCTGAGCACTCGGTCGTCGATCGGACATCGTTTTTAATGAGGCTGCGACTAAAGAGGAAGAGAAAGAGAGGAAGCCAGTCGGAAAAAGAAGACAGCAATAATAAGGAAGCATTATGGAAGCGCGGCGAGTTCGGCCGAATTAGCGGCCGGCTAATGACAAAAAGTCGAATTAAAATAACAATTGCGTCGGGACGAGAGTACGCGAGGGGTTTTAAATCCCCTCCAGCTTTTCCTCCCCCCCCCCTTTTCCCCGGGATTCCCTTTTGCGCTCGTAGACTCGCTGGAATATTTTGAAATTGCAAATTTGCGTCGCGCGTCCCGTCTCTCTTTCTCGCTCTCTTTCCCGGGAATTTAAATAAAATACGCACCCCATCGATTTGCAGCTTTCCGGGCGGGGACGGAGGCAAAAGAGGTAGGGGGCACCTCTTTATCGTTTTCCGATGGAATCGTATTTGGCGACAACGCGGATCGATGCGTCCCTCGCGTAAACGCAATGTCGCGTTCCGTCATATTCGCGGGATAAGTGGATGCTGCGCAGACGGACCGACGTCGTAAGCGAGATCAAATCGGCAAGATAAAATATTTCAAATCGCGGATTTTAGATTTACTTTGTCTGGAAATTCGTCCTGACAAAGATTATGCTTTATACAATTTTTGACGTTAAATACATATATGTTAATGGGAGATTTTTGAGGCGATTTGGAGACGATTTTTCCTCAGCGAAAATGTCGAGAAAGGTCACCATTTTTTTAATGTTCCCAATTTTTGAAATCATGTATCTTTGTAACTAAGCCTTAAATTAAAATTCTATTAAAGTAAACTTTACCTGAAATTAACTAAAAAAATGCAGTTTTGTTAATAATTTATTTTTACAAGGCTTAGTTTACAAAATAACTTTTATTTTCAATCATTTATAACTCGAAAATTATTGGTGCCTGGACTTTTTCGTTGAGGAAAAATCGTCTCCAAATCGCCTCAGAAATCTCCCATTAGCGTGTGATACGGTAATTCTGGGACACCCTGTATAAATCCTAAAATAGATTTTATATATAATCGAAATAATTGAACAAAGGCCTTTTTTCGAGCAAATTTTTTGACAATTGATCTATTATTGAAATATCATACGCTGCGGAACGTTTCGAACATTTACTTATGTCATCTTCAGCCGCTAATCCTTACGAAATTGTTCAATTATTTCGATTATATATATATATATATATTATTATTATTATTTTATTATTATTGAAGCCAATTTTTTTGTATTATATAATTGTCATTTTAAAACAGATTTTGTTTTTACATAAATATTTGATTTCTTCATCTCTTAAGAATATATGTGGGAAATGACACTTTGAATTTATGTTCCGAGCTCTTCCTCGAAATAATCTCCGTATTTTAGAAAATTATCTGAAAACTGTTGGATATCGTTTATTATCTAATTTCCTGCTATCTGTAATTGGCAATTAAAATATAAGAGATACTCTTGCGGAAATGTACTAACATATATATATATATTCTTGCGTCTGCTTTTGCATTCCGCGCAGGAGCACAACACTCGAATATACACTCGAGCAAATCGGGGAAGCCAGAGACACACATGCGAGGAAAAGCCAGAGATTCCTCGATACTTTTCACCATCTGACTCTCATGTAGGTATATCGCGATGTGCTCCGCACGACAGAATATTATCCGCGTAAACGCTCGAACGTGCGACGCGACAGTTTGCCGCGGAAAAGGGGTTAACACACGGAAATGCTTTCCAATCTACGAGAGAAAGCACGAGGGAGATGCTCCGGAATCATCCGTGATGCGAATACACACGACACGATATTATCGAACTGTCCGTCCTTTCCTCGCCAATTTTCCCCAATATAGACATTTCCGTAAAAGCATCTCGCAAGTTTTCTCAAGCTGATGAAAGAACGCCGTCAGACCTCTGTCAATCTCCTGCGAATGAAACAATATCTGATAATTATATTAGTGCTCTTTTTATTATCGTAATATGTGATACAGAGATACTCTCTTTTGCCCGGCTCTATTATTATTGTAACATTGTTTCATATTTGATAACGTATAATATTTTCTCGTTTTATGAGAGATATTTCGTTTTATTTTATATATGTAGGATAGTTACATGTAGGATATCCGCAACATTTCTCGGGCGAACGAGTTTCGAGTTTTACCTGGCCGACATCTGGCAGCTCTCTAGTTTCGATGCCGACAATTGTTCTCTCGTCTTCTCTCTCACTTGCTCCTGTTACTGTTGTCATCTCGCTTTCACTCCCGATGAATCGCCAGGAAGATTTATGGACAATTTTTAGCTGGGAAGGTAAACAAGTCACGCTGGTTTATTCGGTGATAGCGATTGTTCAGGAGTATCTCGAAACAAAAGAAAATATAATTCGAAAGTCCTGTTAGATAAAATTTAAAAAAAATAAATAAATATACGTATTTAATATATGCAATTTTCGTGAAACACTATATAACATTGTATATTATTATACTAATAATATTTTATTATCGAAATAATATCAGAATATCAATTTCTGAATTCTTGCTTTAATTTTAAATACTTCACTATTTTCTTCATCACATTCATTCGTTTATGGGAGAATCCTAAAATTTGGAGACGATTTTTCTCCAGCGAATTTTGAAAATCATGTATCTTTGTAACTGAGCCTTAAATTAAAATTCTATTAAAATAAACTTTACCTGAAATTAACTGAAAAATATAGTTTTGTTAATCATTTATTTTGACAAGGCTTAGTTTTCAAAAAAAGCTTTTATTTTCAATTCATTGTAACTCGAAAATGATTGGTACCTAGCCATTTTCACTGAGGAAAAATCGTCTTTAAATTGCCACAAGAATCCCCCATTAACGAGCGATGGTACAGTAAGTTTGGGATACCCTGTTTATTGGAAATCGAAGGCATCGCATAACTGTCGATCAATCGGCAGCGACGAAATGTGTTTGTCCGGCGAAATCAATAGGTAGGCGATTATCGGTGGCTTGTGTACACTCGCGAAGTCGCGCGCGTTATCGGACTTATTGGATTCCGAGTCTCCTTTGTAAGCTCGCCGTAGATGTTGGATGGGATAAATGCGGTGGCGTGGCTGTCAGAAAAGTCGGAATTCCCTCGGGAATCCGGCTGCGCCGGATGAGAGAAGAACAAGTCGGGGTTGGAGCGGGCAGATGTAGAGGAAACCGAGGAAACAGGGTGATGAGGCGAACCAGGCAGGAGCCAGAAGGAGAAAGTGAAAGAGAGACGGTAGATTAAGGCGAGGAGGTGAATTTTGCGGTAGGAACGGACAGACCAGTAGGTTAGATGAGGAGAGAGGATGGATTGCTGGTGCCAGGCTTAGGGACGCCTCTATAGATCATAGAGGGTACATTTTGAATAATTTACCGGGGCTATCTGTTTCACACGGGGAGCCAAAGAGGGTGTCAAGGTTGCGATGGGATATCGAGTTTACTCCCAATCACGGGGAAGTTCCGATCAGCGGCTCCGAACGCATCTTTTTGCAATAGGGGTTGGTGCAGATTGGTTGCGGGATTGAGAAGAGATCTAGGGCTCTCTGATTAAAGATACATCGGGACTTGAGAGAAGATGTGTAATCCAGCTTGAAGGCGAAAAAAATCAATTTACTTTTGGAGTAGAATTTATTGTAGCATTATCCCCCGAAAAATTAAAAATCTGTTTAAAAAATTGTATAAGCTTGTGAAGGTATAAAAATCGCGAGTATAAGGTATCTGACAATGGGAAATAATGAAATCTCTGAAATTAAACTTTTAATTTTTAATGAATGCCAAAATTTTGGCGAATATTTTGATTACTAATTGAATTTAAATATTTATAATATTTGGCACATTCATTTAATATCATATATATATATATATATATTGAATTTGTGATTATAATACGTAGATCGTAATTTATTAATGGCACTCTGTACATATTTCCCATATATTCTATTCAACTTCAAAAGTGTAATATCAAATAACAAAAAATAGAGAAAACAGTGTCTATATTCAATTTAAAAAATACATTTGCATACTCTATCTTATTCAGAATAAATTTACACAAAAAGGAAAAATATTACTGTGTAAAGTGCTTCTGTCACAGAATATATTTTATACTGAACAAAGTATTTTATAACTACATACATTTTTTTCTTGCGAGTAAAATTCTCTTGAGAAAAATAAATGTTTAGATATTTTTTTTATCCATCGTATATCTAGTTCGTTTTAATAGAGATAGATCGCTTCTCGATTCGCATCAAAGTACTGTTGCGTGACACTTCGTGACGTAAGTAAGCTTCCGAGATGCGTTTTCGCGTCGGAAAATATAGTATACAAGTGCTCGTTTCTATTTGAAGGATGCGACATCGTAAAGCTCTCTGCACTCTTATCTTAATTCGAAAACTTTGACTCGGCAAATAGCGACATCAAGCTGATTCACCAACTCGTCGACTTTGTTAGTTGTAATCTTGTATAAAGTGTCTCTCTATTTATATAAATAGAAATATAAATCACACTATTTATTCATAATAAAGCCTTTGTCAATTTGTGAAGGTCTTCCTTTAATTACATATTTTATTGCAATTAATTTGAAACCGAAAACAATGTTCATATCAAACGTAATTTCCACATCTATGGATAAAATTTAAAAAGCAGATTTTAATAATCGATTTAAATAATTTTAAATCTTCGATGACATATGTGATAAAGAGATGTTCTTCTTCATAATTGCTAAATTATTATATAGTCAAAATATAATTATACAAAAAAAAACTTCTATTATTTATGTCATGTGATTTTTGCGAATATATTTTCTTTTCAATCTTTCTCATAAATATAATCTTCCATTAAACAGGTTTGTTAATCTTTGTTTGCTGTTAAAACGCTAACTCGATATCAAATTTTACATTAATTAATTAAAGTTAAACATCTCCTTAAAAGTTAAACATCCCTTTAAAAGCTAATCAGGTTAATCAGGCTTGAAACTTCGGGAAGAGGAATTATATAGAGAACTCCGCGAAAATGATGTACCCGGGGTTCTTTGTGCGTCTCGATCCGCCGCTGGCAAGAGCGGGAAACGATGGGAATGGGATCGGCTCGCTACGTAACAGTTACACCCAATGAATGACGTCAGGTGCGCGTTCTATGTTGTGCGGGAGAGCACGCGTGTAGCTCGCTCCGAAAGGAAAATCCTGGAGAGCGACGTAACGATGATGCGGAACAACATCGCGGTTGTGTTGTGTTGCGTGTTGCTGTTTTTCGCCACGACAGGTGAGATTTTCCGCTCAAGAATCTCCAAAACAAATCAAAAGATAGGCACTTCAGTACATGCAGGCACATTCACGGCCATTTTGAAAACGAACCTTATGGTTCAGCCTTGATTGTTTACGGATGGGCGTGATAGTTCGATGTTTGATCATTTTTCAATTATTTTGCTCCCATTTGATCCGATATGCCTGAAAATAAGAATAAATGTTAAGTGTTTTTAGCAAAATGTACAATATAATGAATAATACTTGGGAAAATTAAATGAGTAATAAGTATATATATATATATACTGCTACTTGAATATGCAGGAACGCATTTATTTCAATTATTATTAAGAGCAGAAACGAAATGACTAACGAAAAGTCTAACATTTTTTAATAAAAATAGGGGAGTGCTTAAAAATGGGAAAGGGAATATGAATATATTTCGTTGATAATTTTTGTAGGTTAGGAATTGAGGTTCTCATCAATTACTTCAACTGTACCAATTAGATACTTTCATTTGAAGATGCGATTAATTCACTGCGAATTAGTACTTTCTAGCTCAGGAGTTTCAAAATATGCTTTAGCGCTGCTGATTGACGCAAAGATTAACGTTATTATGTCATTTCGAAATAGGTATTGAAGCGATACGCTGTTATCAATGCAGCTCCGATATGGACTCAAAGGGCGAGGACCTTTGTGGGGCTTACTCATATTTCGATAAAGAGAGGAACGTACCTATAGAATGCAATAGCGAGGAATCGCATATGCCTGGTACATTTTGCGTCAAGTACACTGAACAGAGCCCACGTGGCTTCATCTGTAAGTATATTTTTGCAAAAATGAGGTATTTATAAGCAATACAAAATCAAATGTAAACTAAAACAAAGTAGACAACATAGACAGAAACTGTAACACGTCTGAAGAACGTTCTTCAGGGTGTACAGAATTAAATAACAAAATGCAACTGCAACTTAGGGACGCAATGCGAAGATAAGTTTGGATGCATCATTCTTTCGTTGATGCATCCAGAAATCGAATGTAATTACTCTTTCATAAAAATTCCAGACCCAGAAAAACCTTGGCGCAGCTTCCGATTTAATTTTCTGTGCTAAAATTATAGAAAGTTTAAAGCATTTTTTGGTGTAATTATATTATGTCTATTTTTATATTTATATTTGTTAATAATTTAGCAATTATGAAGAAGAGAACTCTTTTCATTCTCTTTATCATGTATGTCATCAAAGATTCAAAATGATTTAAATCAATTAAAATCTTTCTTTTAAATTTTATTTATAGATATGGAAATTATGTTTGATGTGAAAATTGTTTTCGGTTTCAAATTAAATACAATAAAATATGTAATTAAAGGAAGATCTTCACAAATTGACTAAGACTTGATTATGAATAAATAGCGTGATTTATATTTATATAAATAGAGAGACATACTTTGCATTTATTATGATCTTATAAGATGATTTTCAGTATCCGCAGTAGCGAACAATGCACGATAAATATATGTTCGATAATCAGGTACGTTAATCAGCCAATTAATTAATTAATCGACAATTTTGAAGGGGATGGTAGGTGGCGACAGGTGATCCGACGATGCGCCTCCGTCGCCAGTACAGGAGTTACAGGGGTCTGTAACTGGGGTGTTCGCGAGAATGGTGTTTACTGGCAGGAGTGTTACTGCTCCGAGGACGCGTGCAACGCAGCATCCGGTCCGGTGTCCTTCGTCACGTTGCTCCTCGTGGCGTGCAGCGCCGTTCTTACGCTTACTTATTTTAAGTAAAACAAGTTTTTAGGCTTTTCTCACATTTTTCAAGAATACAGGCAGTAACAAAATCTAAGCCTTTGTTGCAATAAGTGAGAAGTTAAGTTTTATATAATTCTAATAAGATGAGTCGTAAAATCTTAACGGAGATGTATTCTCGACGAATTTGGTTTGCCAACCGAATTTTGATTAGAAACCATTTTCATTATTATATTTCTCTTTCCTCTTTCAATTTTTCTTCTTTGAACACTTTTTAATTTCTTGAATTTTTAATGCGCAATTTTTTATACAAATGAATGTCAAATTTTATCGTCAGATAAAAATCGACTCTGATTACCAAAAAGCATATTGTTTCTGGTCTCAGTTTGATTATAAGAGAGAGTCAGTTTGTAGATACTTTAAATAATATATCCGTCCATATGCGATATGTTAATAGATCTCTCGAATTCTCGTTTATGTAAATAATTTAAGTGATTTATATCCATCCGTCCATATTTGGCATTGTTGAGAAATGCCACGAGATGTTATTCACTGCTTATAATATAATTAAGTTAAGATGACTAATTAATTAAATTTTACTACAGATAACTAAGAAAGGGTTAATTCAGAGAATAAAATAGATATATTTATTATTGCATCTTGAGAGAAAATTTACGCGAAATTAGTACAAAAGAGTAAAAGAACAATAATCAGCATAAGATAAACTTGTTGATTTTCTGTCGTTTAGTGCAATAATATATATCTATTATCGAAGAAAATTAACTTAAAAGTGCCTTTTTTACGCAAAAGTAGTGTTCAATTGCTTTTAAGCTGTTTAGCGTAATACGTCGATTAAAATGTTGGCTTTAGAGTAATGACGAATTAAATCGTATATATTATAAAATACATATATGATCATTAAAGCAAACTATCTTTGTTAAATTTAAAATTTTTAAATGGTATACGATTTTATTGATTACAATATAAAAACAGGTTATCGTATTTTTTACTGTAGTTTAATTAATTTATTAAACTTAATAGATAACCACGCATCGCAAATTAAGAATCTCATATAATTTTTTATACTATTCAGCAAGTTATTCCGAATTGTATCTGAATTTGAATTGAATCATATCAACATATATTTGTTATACTACAATTCTTGAAATTTTGAAGTTTTATACTTTTCTATAAACACACGTAGGTATAGTGTCTAAGTAAAAGAAGCAAATTATTGTATAATTAAATTTTTTATCTCTTTATTATTATATATTAATAAAAAAATGTACGTAAATATAACACATAACATGCATATTATTTATTCAAATAAAACTCTCGTAAAATAAAAATTATTTTTTCCATTGAATATTTCACGGTTGAATATGTGGCTTTATAAGCTTAACGATTTATTTCGTTTTTTTTTTTTTTTTTTTTTTAGTTTTTTTCACAGTTTTTTTTATTGGTCGTGAATCTTTGAGAAGCCATTAGACGCGTTCGCGCACGTCCCACGGTAGCATTAACGGAGTGGAAAAACGCGGCGAAAATGAAAGCTACTTTTGTCTCTCGACTTGACTGACTTTTTGCGGTGGCTCCGCGAGAGAAAACGCACCTCGCAAGCCGGGAGATTAATGTTTTCCGTGGCGCTGCTGATCGCATCTGCGCGAAATTCTCATTTGCTGGCTGTTTACGCCTGCTTAAGTGCAACTTACGTTATTTCAGCCGCGTTTAACGTCGCGACTAGATTACACCATCCTTTCTTATCTAAATTTATGATACCTGCTAATCTCATGCTTATATTTTTATACGCTTTTATTTTACACGATTTATGGTCGCCAAATTAATGACTTTGTAAGCGTATTTCTCTTTAAAAATCTAGAGACTATTTAAGAAAATTTATATACAGAAACCAGACAATTATTTACAAAATGTAGAGATAATTTTTCCATTCTACAATGGTAAAGCTAAATTAATAAATTGATAAGTATTAAAAATTAAAACTTGGAATATTTATTAATTATGGTCTCTCTTGAACTATTGTATCTATGATTTCTTAAACGAAAGTTTCGTTTGTCGGGGACACTTAATATAGCTGTAAGCGATAAAATCATCATTCGGTGAAGCATGCAGTCACAGTACTTAAATTAGCTTCCTTCTACGGAACGAAACACATCGAGGTCATCCTATGCATTGCGCGTCTCATTTATCACACGTCAGTGGCATACGCGTGCTAAACGCGCATTGTGCGAAATTCCTAAATGACGATTCTCGCGATCCGGACTTTTGCGCACCCTCAGACTCTCAGGGGTTGCTGTCGCGAACTCGCTTCCGGTATCAAGCCCAAAGCCGAGGACACCCTCCTGAGCGTACGTCACGCCGTAATGCCGGAAATTCGTCGGCCGTGAGTTAATTACGTCACGCGAGACTATTAATGCCTTAACAGATCCGACGTGCGCGTTGTACGTACAACAATGGTCTCGGCTATTTAGGCCCTTCTCGTACATTACGTCACCACGTGCCAACCCTCGTTACTTGGGGCGCCGTGCGATAATTAAGATCGTCGTGGCCCGAGCGTTCCAGCGGCAGCAACAGCGGCGGCTGATAATACTTCGGAAAGGTCTTATCATGTCCCACAATCCTCCCCGCAATATAACATCGAAAGGTTTCCGCAGGTAAACCGGAGAATGATAAATGCCTTTCAAGATGGGCTAAAATTATATTAGGCGTGTCTCCTAATTATAATGGGCAAACATTAGAATATCGGACTTCTTGATTTATTATGACAAATAAGACGAAAATTGAAAAAAAAATGTTAAGAAACCAAAGGAAAAAATCACTCGACAATCATGATATTTTTGCGATACTTTAGAAATAGCGTTTTTTAAGCAATGCTTTATAATAAGTGAATTCTAATTAAAATACATTTTTTATACACACAAATTTCATTATTAAAATATTTATTATTAAAAATATCAAATTTATAGTAAATCAAACATTCCTTGATACTTTTTTATATCATAATTGAATTTTTTCTTATATATTGAAAATAAATCAATTATGTGACAATTATAAAATATATTTTTTCTTAATATATATCAAGGTATTGATTTTGTTATAAGCTATCAAACAAAATCTCTTTAGTTCGATTTAAGAAATCTTAAGTTATATTTTACTTACGTCAATTGTATACAAATTTTTGTATAATATAATCATAACATATAAGTACTAATAACTAATTTATAACTAACTGATATATGAATAATAAACTTACATAATAATAAATAAACTTGTATAATAAATATAAAATTATATATATTATTAAAATTATGTTATATATCAAGTTTATATATGTAAATATATATATATACATACATCAATATATATATATAAATATATATATACTTAGATACATATGTGTATAAATATTTATATAATTATATAAATATATAATTTATATAATTATATGTATATATAATTTATATAATTATAACGAGCTGGAAATTGTTAAGAAATTGCATATTAGTTTACAGTTCAAGATGATCAAACTTGACAAGTTGAGATCTACAAGGTATATTAATTTTATTAATTGATTCAAATATTTTGTTTCTATCTTTTTGTGATAAATGAGAAAAGTTGTTATAAAGCGCTACTTCCTTTAAATATAACTTAATAAAAGTTGCTACCTTTTCTTCTAAGAGTTTTGCATTACATGAAAACGCAAGCATTATAAGTTTGACAGAATTTTGAATATTAATTATACGTAACAAGTAGCGTTCACATGTTAATTTAAGTTGGTTTACTTTATATTTATCAGCTGTTATTAGTATATATTTGAGCTTATCGTAATCAAGCGACGTCGGTAATGAATCAGTTAAAATGAATAATAACATTCCTTCATAAGCCAATGAAAACTTTTTGTCGTTTATTTTTATCTCAAATTCGTTAGTTTTATTTTTTTCAAGCTTATCGCATAGTTCGTTAAAATACGTACTACTGATACAACGTAATCGATTCTTGGATAAAGTATAGCGTGATTTATTTACTATAAAAGTAATCGATTCTTTATCATTAAAATTAAAATTTTTGCGAACTATTGTATCTATTGTCGTTAAATTCATGTGTATACTTTGATTTTGAAATTGATGAAGAATTTCGAACTTGAAATTGATTACGATCTTTTCTTCAGAGAGTATTTCTGTGTCAAGCAATTTAATTGGAAGTTCACATAATAATGTCATATCTGTCATTGAACCTTTATACGAATAACAATGATATACCTTGTTAGAATTTACCGCATAATTAGAGATAAGGGAAATCTGGCATATACCCATAAATTTTTCTTTAGTAAGTAAATAAAATTTTACTTTGTTGTTTAACTTATCATGTGTATCAATATCAATACTTAGTTTAATTCTATATAGAGCTGTTTCCGGAAACTCTTCAGAAAATAATTGTTTTGCAATTTGAAGATGAGTAATGACACGATCCATGTCCCAGGTATATTCAACTGTGCTCGAGTTAAAGTATGAGCGGCAATATGACTTATTATATGAAGGTGGATTCAGCTGAACTTCCGATGCTGTATTAAAGACATCACTCCCTGATTCTGATATATCTGATTTATTTAAGATATTAGAAGTACTTTCTGTTTTTATTTTGGAATAAGATTTGTTGGAGATGTCTTCTTTTTCGAAACAAGATTTGCTGGGGATATCTTCTTCTATTTGGTAACGGGATATCCTTTCAGCATCTCTCGCTATTTCCACGCGAAGTTTTTCATAATATGCGTCTGCTTTTCCGGTGTAGACATCCTCTGGTTTTATTTTGGAAGAAATCTGGAAATGATCAAGTTACATATTTACTAAGTCTGAACAAAAACGATTAGCATTTGTAGTAGATTTTATTTTAACAAAATAACATTTTCTGATTTAGAAAATAACGTTTTCTTAACTTAATTAATAGTTAAGAGTTTATATTACAAGGCTCTGTAATATAAATATAAATTTAAAGTGTAAGACAGGCAATAAGAGCCAATTGCGGAAGACAGTGCGTTATCTCAACGAAGCTAAATTTTTTCGTTGGAATTAAATATCTGTACACAAGGCACCAAATTTTACTTGGTCACGGCCAAGATTTTAAAATATGAAATAATCTCATATATTTGAGATTTAAATTCAATAATCCTTTAACCCCCTACGGAAATAAATAAATAAATGCAAGAGAAAAATATAGATCCGACAGTCGCTGAATCGGGAATCGAATCCGAGACCTTTCGCTTGCCGTAGGGGTTAAAGGATTATTGAAATTAAATCTCAAATATAAGATTATTTCATATTTTAAAATCTTGGCCGTGACCAAGTAAAATTTGGTGTATTGTGCACAGATATTTAATTCCAACGAAAAAATTAAGCTTTGTTGGGATAACGACAGGCAATAAGAGCCAATCTTCCGCGATTGGCTCTTATTGCCTGTCTTACACTTTTAATTAATTGTGTAGCTTAAATAAAAAATCTCATGCATCGTGGTAAAAGGCATACCGATTTCATGAGTGATATACATATATGTTATAAGCTTTCTATTAAGTATATAATAAAATAAATTAAAATTACACTTTTTTTAAATATTACAAATAAATTGCATTTGTTTAAAATATTGCTGTTTTAACATTTTAATTACGTGCTAAAAAAGAAGCGAACACAAGAAGGAAGTGTTGAGAACTTACATTTTTTCCATTGTGCGGCAATATGACTTATTATATGAAGGTGGATTCAGCTGAACTTCCGATGCTGTATTAAAGACATCACTCCCTGATTCTGATATATCTGATTTATTTAAGATATTAGAAGTACTTTCTGTTTTTATTTTGGAATAAGATTTGTTGGAGATGTCTTCTTTTTCGAAACAAGATTTGCTGGGGATATCTTCTTCTATTTGGTAACGGGATATCCTTTCAGCATCTCTCGCTATTTCCACGCGAAGTTTTTCATAATATGCGTCTGCTTTTCCGGTGTAGACATCCTCTGGTTTTATTTTGGAAGAAATCTGGAAATGATCAAGTTACATATTTACTAAGTCTGAACAAAAACGATTAGCATTTGTAGTAGATTTTATTTTAGCAAAATAACATTTTCTGATAACTTAATTAATTGTGTAACTTAAATAAAAAATCTCATGCATCGTGGTAAAAGGCGTACCGATTTCATGAGTGGTATACATATATTTATAGGCTTTCTATTAAGTATATAATAAAATAAATTAAATTTACACTTTTTTTAAATATTACAAATAAATTGACTTATTTAAAATATTGATGTCTTAACTTAATTACGTGCTAAAAAAGAAGCGAACACAAGAAGGAAGTGTTGAGAACTTACATTTTTTTCCATTATGCTTTGTTATTCTCCTGTCAAACGCTTGAGTGCAAGTTTCAAGGCTTATCGTTAGCTTAAACTGTATTTCTGTTATATGTTTTAATATCGACTTTGGTGCTATTAAAATAATACATATATATAAATATAAATATGATTATATTGCGTGATTGATATCTTTCTCCTTTTATTATAAAGCATATAGAAATCTCTTACCTGTTTGTCCGAAAATTAATCCGGAATTTTTATTTGTTACGCCTCGTATTCTCTTTTAAGACGAAAATCTTTTTCCTGTTCTCAACTGATGACACTTACTTATATAATCTAATTTCATCTTTTTAATCTATTCGCCTCAATTGTATCGTTCCAGAGATCTCCCAAATTTCTAATGTCGACGATGCTAAAATAATGTTATTATTTTAGCAATCTATTTGTTGAACTATAGCTTTCATCTTCTATGTTTTGTTTCATTTTTTGACCTAGCTTGAATCATTGGTATAAAGTGTTACTTTGTGTTGAATAAATGAGAATATAATCAAATGGAAATTTTAAGTTTATGTCAACATTTTGAAAATGCTACAATTTAAATGTATTATAAAAGTATACAATCTATTAATTTTCTTAATTAAATTGACGTAATTCTCGAATTAATCGTAATATTTAAAATTATATAATATATGATTAATATTAAATAAAAATCTTTACTATTAAATTTGAATAAAAATTAGATTTTTACTTATCGAAGAAATGTCGTGGCTATATAGATACAAATAGTTTAACCGATATAATCACAAATTACATATTTTTTGTGTATCTACTTAAAATAATTAGATGTATAGATCGTTCTAGATCAATATTATCCAAAGATAATATTGCTATAACAATCATTCGTCTTTTCACTCACTGAGTGCTTATTGTGTGTCAAACAAAAATCTTTAATTTGCAATTTTTTATCATACAATGTGAAATAATGTTTGAACTACACAATTAATAATCATTATTATAAGATGCAATTTATCAGAACATTTAATAACATTTAATGCGACAAAGTTCTTACGAAAATTATGAGAAACCGAAGGAAAAAATCACTTGACAATCATGATATTTTTGCGATACTTTAGAAATAGCGTTTTTTAAGCAATGCTTTATTGTATTTGAATTGATTTATTAGTGATTTCTAATTAAAATACATTTTTATACACACAAATTTCATTATTAAAATATTTATTATTAAAAATATCAAATTTATAGTAAACCAAACATTTCTTGATACTTTTTCATATCATAATTGAATTTTTTCTTATATGTTGAAAATAATTAAATTATGTGACAATTATAAAATATATTTTTTCTTAATATTTATCAAGGTATTGATTTTGTTATAAGCTATCAAACAAAATCTCTATAGTTCGATTTAAGTAAGAAATCCTAAGTTATATTTTACTTACGTCAATTGTATACAAATTTTTGTATAATATAATCATAACATATAAATACTAATAGCTAATTTATAACTAACTGATATATAAATAATAAATTTATATAATAATAAATAAACTTGTATAATAAATATAAAATTATATATATTATTAAAATTATGTTATACACCAAGTTTATATATGCAAATATATATATATATACATACATATATATATATATATATATATATATATATATATATATACTTAGATACATATGTGTATAAATATTTATATAATTATATAAATATATAATTTATATAATTATATGTGTATATATAATTTATATAATAATAATGAGCAGGAAATTGTTAAGAAATTGCATATTAGATTACAGTTCAAGATGATCAAACTTGACAAGTTGAGATCTACAAGGTATATTAATTTTATTAATTGATTCAAATATTTTGTTTCTATCTTTTTGTGATAAATGAGAAAAGTTGTTATAACGCGTCATTTCCTTTAAATATAATTTAATAAAAGTTGCTGCCTTTTTTTCTAAGAGTTTTGCATTACATGAAAACGCAAGCATTATAAGTTTGACAGAATTTTGAATATTAATTATACGTAACAAGTAGCGTTCACATGTTAATTTAAGATTGTTTACTTTATATTTATCAGCTGTTATTAGTATATATTTGAGCTTATGGTAATCAAGCGACGTCGGTAATGAACCAGTTAAAATGAATAATAACATTTCTTCATAAGCCAATGACAACTTTTTATCGTTTATTTTTATCTCAAATTCGTTAGTTTTATTTTTTTCAAGCTGATCGCATAGTTCGTTAAAATACGTACTACTGATACAACGTAATCGATTCTTGGATAAAGTATAGCGTGATTTATTTACTATAAAAGTAATCGATTCTTTATCATTAAAATTAAAATTTTTGCGAACTATTGTATCTATTGTCGTTAAATTCATGTGTATACTTTGATTTTGAAATTGATGAAGAATTTCGAACTTGAAATTGATTACGATCTTTTCTTCAGAGAGTATTTCTGTGTCAAGCAATTTAATTGGAAGTTCACATAATAATGTCATATCTGTCATTGAACCTTTATACGAATAACAATGATATACCTTGTTAGAATTTACCGCATAATTAGAGATAAGGGAAATCTGGCATATACCCATAAATTTTTCTTTAGTAAGTAAATAAAATTTTACTTTGTTGTTTAACTTATCATGTGTATCAATATCAATACTTAGTTTAATTCTATATAGAGCTGTTTCCGGAAACTCTTCAGAAAATAATTGTTTTGCAATTTGAAGATGAGTAATGACACGATCCATGTCCCAGGTATATTCAACTGTGCTCGAGTTAAAGTATGAGCGGCAATATGACTTATTATATGAAGGTGGATTCAGCTGAACTTCCGATGCTGTATTAAAGACATCACTCCCTGATTCTGATATATCTGATTTATTTAAGATATTAGAAGTACTTTCTGTTTTTATTTTGGAATAAGATTTGTTGGAGATGTCTTCTTTTTCGAAACAAGATTTGCTGGGGATATCTTCTTCTATTTGGTAACGGGATATCCTTTCAGCATCTCTCGCTATTTCCACGCGAAGTTTTTCATAATATGCGTCTGCTTTTCCGGTGTAGACATCCTCTGGTTTTATTTTGGAAGAAATCTGGAAATGATCAAGTTACATATTTACTAAGTCTGAACAAAAACGATTAGCATTTGTAGTAGATTTTATTTTAACAAAATAACATTTTCTGATTTAGAAAATAACGTTTTCTTAACTTAATTAATAGTTAAGAGTTTATATTACAAGGCTCTGTAATATAAATATAAATTTAAAGTGTAAGACAGGCAATAAGAGCCAATTGCGGAAGACAGTGCGTTATCTCAACGAAGCTAAATTTTTTCGTTGGAATTAAATATCTGTACACAAGGCACCAAATTTTACTTGGTCACGGCCAAGATTTTAAAATATGAAATAATCTCATATATTTGAGATTTAAATTCAATAATCCTTTAACCCCCTACGGAAATAAATAAATAAATGCAAGAGAAAAATATAGATCCGAAAGTCGCTGAATCGGGAATCGAATCCGAGACCTTTCGCTTGCCGTAAGGGTTAAACGATTATTGAAATTAAATCTCAAATATAAGATTATTTCATATTTTAAAATCTTGGCCGTGACCAAGTAAAATTTGGTGCCTTGTGCACAGATATTTAATTCCAACGAAAAAATTTAGCTTTGTTGGGATAACGCACTGTCTTCCGCGATTGGCTCTTATTGCCTGTCTTACACTTTTAATTAATTGTGTAGCTTAAATAAAAAATCTCATGCATCGTGGTAAAAGGCATACCAATTTCATGAGTGATATACATATATGTTATAAGCTTTCTATTAAGTATATAATAAAATAAATTAAATTTACACTTCTTTTAAATATTACAAATAAATTGCATTTGTTTAAAATATTGCTGTCTTAACATTTTAATTACGTACTAAAAAAGAAGCGAACACAAGAAGGAAGTGTTGAGAACTTACATTTTTTTCCATTGTGCGGCAATATGACTTATTATATGAAGGTGGATTCAGCTGAACTTTCGATGCTGTGTTAAAGACATCACTCCCTGATTCTGATATATCTGATTTATTTAAGATATTAGAAGTACATTCTGTTTCTATTTTGGAATAAGATTTGTTGGAGATGTCTTCTTTTTCGAAACAAGATTTGCTGGGGATATCTTCTTCTATTTGATAACGGGATATCCTTTCAGCAACTCTCGTCATTTGCGCGCTAAGTTTTCCATAATATGCGTCTGCTTTTCCGGTGTAGACATCCTCTGGTTTTATTTTGGAAGAAATCTGGAAATGATCAAGTTACATATTTACTAAGTCTGAACAAAAACGATTAGCATTTGTAGTAGATTTTATTTTAGCAAAATAACATTTTCTGATAACTTAATTAATTGTGTAACTTAAATAAAAAATCTCATGCATCGTGGTAAAAGGCGTACCGATTTCATGAGTGGTATACATATATTTATAGGCTTTCTATTAAGTATATAATAAAATAAATTAAATTCTCACTTTTTTAAATATTACAAATAAATTGACTTATTTAAAATATTGATGTCTTAACTTAATTACGTGCTAAAAAAGAAGCGAACACAAGAAGGAAGTGTTGAGAACTTACATTTTTTTCCATTGTGCTTTGTTATTCTCCTGTCAAACGCTTGAGTGCAAGTTTCAAGGCTTATCGTTAGCTTAAACTGTATTTCTGTTATATGTTTTAATGTCGACTTTGGTGCTATTAAAATAATACATATGTATAAATATAAATATGATTATATTGCGTGATTGATATATTTCTCCTTATATTATAAAGCATATAGAAATCTCTTACCTGTTTGTCCGAAAAATAATCCGGAATTTTTATTTGTTACGCCTTGTATTCTCTTTTAAGACGAAAATCTTTTTCCTGTTCTCAACTGATGACACTTACTTATATAATCTAATTTCATCTTTTTAATCGATTTGCCTCAATTGTATCGTTCCAGAGATCTCCCAAATTTCCAATGTCGACGATGCTAAAATAATGTTATTATTTTAGCAATCTATTTGTTGGACTATAGCTTTCACCTTCTATGTTTTGTTTCATTTTTTGACCTAGCTTGAACCATTGGTATAAAGTGTTACTTTGTGTTGAATAAATGAGAATATAACCAAATGGGAATTTTAAATTTATGTCAACATTTTGAAAATGCTACAATTTAAATGTATTATAAAAATATACAATCTATTAATTTTTTTAATTAAATTGACGTAATTCTCGAATTAATCGTAATATTTAAAATTATATAATATATGATTAATATTAAATAAAAATCTTTACTATTAAATTTGAATAAAAATTAGATTTTTACTTATCGAAGAAAAGTCGTGGCTATAGATACAAATAGTTTAACCGATATAATCACAAATTACATATTTTTTGTGTATCTACTTAAAATAATTAGATGTATAGATCGTTCTGGATCAATATTATCCAAAGATAATATTGCTATAACAATAATTCGTCTTTTCACTCACTGAGTGCCTATTGTGTGTCAAACAAAAATCTTTAATTTGCAATTTTTTATCATACAATGTGAAATACGTTTAAACTACACAATTAATAATTATTACTATAAGATGCAATTTATCAGAACATTTAATAACATTTAATGCGACAAAGCTCTTATGAAAATTATGAGAAATATATCGTATTTCATCATATAAAACGATTACATTTTATATTTCTGCACATTAATATCATTAGAAATTTAAATAAATATTATATTACTTGAAATTTTAAGAATATGTTATATCATATTATATTAGATTTTTCTAGTCGAATGCTTTATTTTTCACATCAGAGTAACTCGGTGGCTTTATATTTTAATCGTTATTATCATTACAGCGTGCTTAATTAGCCACCGGAAGGGCAGAAAATGCACAATCTTGGTTGTCTCTTAATTTTCTGCGCATAACTCATCTGCTATTTTGCTATTTTATACGAATAAAAGAAAATATAACAAAATATAAGAATCTCTGGAATTTAATTAAATAGTGTACAGTATACAGTGTTATTGTTTTGGGGATAAAGGGGGTAATGTTTTTTTTTAATTACGTCTTTATTGTTTTTCATGCATTGCTTTATTTTCTATTTTCGAATTGTAGAACTGTTATTTTTCTTTAAAGCATCAATATATGAAATTTTATTTTAGATTTAATTTAAAAAATATAATTAATGAATGTAATCGAAAACTTTTATTTTAAATAACATATACCGATATTGAAATAACAATTATAAAAATGTCGCTTCTATTTTATAATTGATTTAAAATCGGCGCGATGTATTTTTTTCAATACAACGAACTCGAGTTATCAAGTTTATATTAAATGAAACATAAGAAAGGACTAGATTCATTTATGCATTTTTACTCATTAATATTGTATTAGAAATGAACTCTGTCACATTAAGATTTCGGGAAGAAGAGTTAGTTTCCACAATAAAATGACTCCAGTTATAATTATTTATTCGCAAAGACTGGACTTAATATTATATTTTTATAGCTGATTTCGCTATTGTTGCGAGACATTTCTTTTCATTTATAGACGACAAGGATTATTCATGTGTATATTTTTAATAAATAAAAATTAAATTAAATGCTTTAAAATGCTAAATTAAATTATATTTCAAACCAAGTTTAAATACATAGGAAACATATTACATTGCTAAACAGATAAAAATTTATAAAATATATCAAATAAACTACATTTCTTTAAAAATGTCTTGCCTCATCTTTTGTAGTACATAAGAACTTAAAATAATTACTGTTAATAGCGCATAATAAATTTTTAGATATACTGAAATCTTCGTCATTTATATTAAATATAATCAAGTCTTTATTATCAAACTTTGAATCATTATCAAAGATTGATTTTTCAGACTTTAAATCTTTTACTGCAGAAAATGATGGCGAATTTGTATATATTGTTGTATTTAAAGGACCAGGAAAAATATTAAATTTGAAATTTATTTTAAGATCTATATACGAGTTATCTATTAATGTGTTCAATTGAGTTTCGTATAATAACATCATATCGTTTAGAAAAGTACTATTCATTTGAATTATCTCATTTCCCTTTGGACCAATTTGAAAAATACTATAACAACTTGCAAATCCTATATTAGTTAATATATAAAATCTTATTACATTTTCCGAATATACTTCCGACGAGGAAACAATTCTCATATCAATTCGAATTTTATATTCTGTATTTTCTGGAAACGGCACAGAAACAAAAACTAATTTATAAAGCTTCTAAAATCAATAATTTTCCAATTATATTCAATCGTATTCTGTAACCAATAACCTGTAAATAACCATTTTAATTATTATATTACAAATTTTATTTAATTATATTTTATATATCAGTTATAAAACTTTTTATAAATTATTATATTATTATATTATTATTATTTATCATATCTCTCATCTCTTTCTGTATCTCATGAAACTAATCATTATATATATATATATTTTTTTTTTTTAATAATGTTGCATAATACGAACGCAAAAAATATCAAAAAACAATATAAAATAGACGATAAATAGAGAGATATAAAAATTTATAATATGTATATCTGATTTATATTCGCAAAATACCCAATAAATTATTTCATAATTATGCAATTTTCAAATTGTTTAGAAAATATATTTTCTCTTTTAAAAAATTTCATTAAATGCATTGTGCATTACTTGATAATTAAACGACTATAAACGATAATTAAAAGAGTATATGTCATGTTACAAGCTCTTTTTATTAGATAATAAAATATATTAAATTATAATAGTTAAGATTGAAATATGTTTTCTAATAAGGTTTTTAATGATATATATGAAAAAAGTTAAAAAACTATGAAATTGAAGTATTTATAACGATAAATGGTGTTTTTTATATATTTTTGATAATAAGATAATTTTTAATAATTAACAAATAAGATATCTATGATATTGTTGTCGCTAATATACAAGTCTTTATTATATCCAATTATATAATTGGAGAGTCAAATTTAATAAATCTGATTGCATTTTATATTTACCAAATTATAAAATGAGCGATCTGATCACTCAAATGACCACTCGAATCAACAGGTCAATGACACGAAAATCGAGAAAAGGACAACGTTTAAACATCAACGTGTCTGATCTTAATAATGATATTTTATCTGACTAATATATATAGGATTCGATATTATTTATTAGTATTATCGGTCATAATAAATAAAATATTATCGTGACATGCGCTGTAAATTCGAAATTGATTTGCTATATGTATACGATTATATACTTTTGTCATTACTCGAATCTAAAAATTAAATAATTGATTTTGATGATCTGTTGCTCCCATTCATATTCTCGGTAAATCATCTGCAAAATTTTTATATTAAATTTTTTTAATTTTTTTGTTTTTTAAATTAAAAACTTTTTTATTATTGCTCGAATCAAAAAAATTAATAAGTAAATGACTGATTTTGATGATCTCGAGTCTGTTGCCTCCTATTAAATCATCTGCAAAATTTTCATATTAATTTTTTATTTAAAAAAATTTTCATTTTTCAATTTTTTAAAATGACTCCAATAATGCATCGTAGGGAAACGCTCTCGCTTGTGCAGCGTGATTTATCACTTTTATTAAATATATTATTGCATTAGGTATACATTATCGGGTTATTTTTATTCTGCTTTTGTACCGCGTTTTTTAATTGTTTGACATAAAAGCAAATTTCACTTAGAGTATACTATAGTTGAAATTAACTTCTCGCTCGCGCCGCGCATGATTTCCCTCTCTCTTCATGATCTCTTCTAACCTACAAAAGTCCACCTTCATTCTCATCCTCATCGTCGTTCAGCGAAATCGGGAATAACGGAGAGATTAAATTTGTCGACGACAGATTTACACGGGCGAAGCAGTATTTCGCGCATTGTCAATTAACGTCAACTTGTAAATAGGCCTATTCTTCTCACATAATTAAATTCCAAGTCAAATTATTTATTTAACTTCTCCTTACAATGGCAAAACCAGGATCTTACAAATGACCTACAATTTCATCATCTTTTCAAGTTACACGGCTTTTATAAGTTAAATTTTTGCCATTTATTGCGTAAATTTCTCAGTTATCGCACAATTATAACTCGGTTTGATAACTAGTGTTAAACATTGATTGTTTTCTTCATGTACTGGATGCTGAATATTTTATTTAAAGTAATGTTTCGTTCAATTTTACAGACTGGATACTCCAGGTGAACGATGAACATGGCTGCGAGTGCAGGTCTCACTCGACAGGATATGCTGATGCTCGTGGCAAGGTTGACATGCGTCGCGGCCATCGGTTTCTTCAGCGTGAGGTGGCTCATCAGTCAGCTCGATCCCACCAGGAGCACTAAACAGAGGGCGAAAAAGAAGGTTCGTGATCGTCACGTTTTCTCGAAGAAAGATCAATTCATTTTGATCAATTGCTTGCATTGTATTTCGTATCTAATTGCAGGCTCGAGAGCAGTTACGTAAGCTAGCAGAAAGTGACAGATACGCGCGAACTTTTGACATGGATCAGCTGACAGATTACGAGATGATAATAGCTAATCATCTGGTGGATCCAAATGACATTAAGATATCGTGGAACAATATTGCTGGTCTGGACAACGTTATTCAAGAGCTCAAGGAGACTGTCATACTACCTATACAGAGGAAGGAATTGTTTGAGGACTCGCAGCTGACACAAGCGCCCAAGGTACTAATCGTGTTTATTATCCAAGAAGAATCGATAGTTTAGATGTGTCTCGTGCTTGTCACTTTCAGGGAGTATTGTTGTATGGTCCGCCAGGTTGTGGCAAGACCATGATTGCCAAGGCCACCGCTCGGGAGGCAAAAACGCGCTTTATAAATCTTGATGTGAGCATCCTAACTGATAAATGGTATGGAGAAAGTCAGAAGCTGGCTGCTGCTGTATTTTCGTTAGCTGTAAAACTACAGCCTTGCATAATCTTTATTGATGAAATAGGTACGTTGGCAAGAATAGGATCTTATAAAATCAAAAAATAGAATTAATTTAATTATTATTCATTTAATTATTTCAATAGAATGAATCTTATCATCCTCGTGTTCTCTATCTTTTTTTTATTGAAAAGAATGTTTGTAATTCAGTTAATATAGTTTGTCATATTGCACAACTACTCACTATTAATATACATATGTTAAATATAATTATTTAGTAAATGGGTAAAATTTCTTGTTTTAATATAATTTGATTGTAATAGATTCATTTTTGAGAGCACGCAATTCACAAGATCATGAGGCTACCGCGATGATGAAGGCCCAATTTATGTCACTATGGGATGGCTTGATAACCGATCCTGATTGTACTGTAATTATAATGGGTGCCACCAATAGACCACAGGATTTAGATAAGGCTATTCTACGACGTATGCCGGCCACTTTCCATGTTGGTTTGCCGGTAAATATATTTATACAATATTAAATTTCTGTATATTATTTTCAGTAGTAAGATATTAGTCTATAACAAATACTTATCTATCACTTATGTGCTATATTGGTTATATATGACAAATTGCTCATATGATTATCTGCTTCAGAATGAAGAACAACGGTTAAAAGTCTTGCAATTGATTCTGAAAAACGAGCCAACTGCGGACAATGTTGAAATTGCGACGATAGCGAAACATACAGAAGGTTTTTCCGGATCGGATTTGCAAGAACTCTGTCGAAACGCGTCCATCTATCGTATTAGAGATTATTTATATTCGCAGTACGTATCAAAATTCTTTATAGAAAGCAAACTTCATTTACTAATTAAAATTATTTAATCAATAAATCTTATATCAATTCTCAATTCTATATTATGTAGTCTACGTGGATTTATAAAGAATCTTATGTAATTTAAAATTAAAATTAACAATTTTAAAAACTGCATGGTAATAATTTCTGTCATTTAATTCATAGGGATTCTGTCAAGTACGAGAACAGTGAAGACGAGGAATATGACGAAGAGTTTCATGACACTGTGCGACCCATTACGATGGAAGACTTGCTCAAGTCTTTCAGAAAGATGAGAACATCGAAACTGCATACGGGTACGCTCAGTACACGGCAGCTAGAATTAGATTAAAGTAAGAAATTAATTTTTTATTAGTTTATCTATGTGACTGTTGTCTCAACAGTCGTTCATTTGTTGCATAAATATTACGACAACGATGAAACTGAAATCTTCTTTCATCATGAAACTGTATTCTTCAATATTATCAGAAGAATGATTTTCTTGTCGTAAACATTGAAAAATTTTTATGGAGGTTAAAATAGAATCATTGAAAAGTGTTTATAATTCCATAGTAAAAGAAAGATATTGTAGAAAGAAATTTTATAACGAGATGAATTGAAATTTCTCTCAATATCATAGTGTTGAAGCGTGCATCGCGACGGTATATGATAAAAAAACATTTCACTTAATTTACTTATTTCAAAATTTTAACTTATTTTAGTTAATATCTTTATGATAAAAAATTCTCTTCATTGTGATATATATTAAATATGGTTTAACATGTTAAAACGTACCTAATAATAAAAGAATTTTATAATAATCTAATATATTAATAATTCAAAAGTACAAGGTAAATATAATTTTTCTTTTTATCATATAATCAAAAAATGTTTAATATAAATGTGATTATATATATGCACACACCTACAGCTTTAGTAAACATACATGTTCAAAATCAGTTGCATATGTGATGAAATGTATAATAGTACTAAGTTGTATAAGAATAGAGTGAGATACGCGATAAAAATTGCGATCGTTAATTGTTAAGAGCGACGTAAATGTGTATCTTATTATTGCTTTCCTAAATTTGAGAATTTCGCGAAAACCCATAATGCATTAATATATCTTTCTGTTATAATATATTTTTACCTATAATACGCCTTTTTACATTTCATTATGTACATATGAGCTCAAACTAGCACAAAATATATGCATTTCTGTGCACTTTATTATATATAAGAAAGATATTTATTTTTAAGTCACGCTGTTTTTTAAAAAGACACTATAGAAAATACTATGTAAAAAATATCATGATTTTTTTCTGAAAAAATATTGATACTAAATTCAAATTAATTACCACAGTTTTCCAAAGAAAGAATACGATACACATATTTATGTACTATAAATGTTACTTATAATAAGACGAATATCTTCTCGATCTTAGCTCGATAATCTCATCGTTAGTGTTATTACTTCAATATAAAATGCAAATTGTCCGTTTTAGAAAGAAGATTTTATAAACCAACATTGAAAACAAAATAGCAACTAAATATTATAAAGCAAATAGAAACATTTGCTTTATAATTTTCTCTATTTATATATTGTTTCTGCAACATAAATTCGAAACAAAAACATTTCAGCGAAAATCTTTCGAAACTATTGTAAATAGGGGAAAAGAATATTATATTAAGAATTAAATTTGATTAAAAAAAACCATATGAAACTATTAAACTTTTAGTATTTTTGTTTCGGAATTTTGTTAAACTCCCTCGTCATGATCTAAAAATCTAAATCCTTTTCACCTCACATATATATCACTTTTTTCCAGGACTTCCATTCCTCCAGTCTTAACTTAATAGAAAATTTTCAAAAAATTTTGTCGAAGCCAGATCAAGAGAATATAATGAGGAAAGGATAGAGGAGAGCACCTGAAACCTTTTTTTCGCGAAGAATTGCGTGATGATCTCTATAGTATATCGAGGCGAGAAAAAAATAGAAAGAGAGAAAAAACGGTAGCGGTCCAGCGAGAAACCGTCCATCTACTATCTGATCGTAATGAAGAGCGTCGATTTCCATTTGCTTAATTGCGCGTGTCGTAAAAAAATCTGAGAGAACACGGGCGCGGCTCGAGAAAAAAAAGGACAGGAAGCGGAGTACGATTTATTCTATCTCGAAAAAAATATTACACGATAAAGACCCTTATAGATTCGGATAAAAAAAAAAAAAAAAAAAAAAACAGCAAAAGAAAGGATATTGTATTCCGAAAGAGGCCAATTACCCGGATTATTGTTTAGAGAGAGAACATTCGCTGTGGAAATTTTACTTAAAGACAAGTGCGAATAACTGTGTTAATACATCTGCTGTTAGTGTCTTATTTAGAAAACGTAGAAAAGATTGCGGCAAATTGAGAGGAAGCTGCATTATATGGTTCCCAATTATCTCTTCAAGTATATGGAATCGCGTTATAGCGTATATCACACAATCTCCCGCTCTATAATTATCGCAAACGATATCTCTCGCTTTCTGATTATCCCGATATCAAATATCTCTCTGGGAATCTAGAATACGGAAGATCTCTCTCTCTACTAACTAACAATTCATAGAAATAAGGATGTAAAAAAATCAAGTTTGCATTTTATCGAGAAACGTCAAGATTCAAATGTCAAAAATAATATTCCAATATTACACGGATAAAGAGAATGGACCCGAATGCTCGCGCAGCAGCAGGAGAACCAAGAGAACCGAGGACGCACGAGCGACGCGTTCGGGCTTCTCTTCTCCTGCGTCCACCTCCACTCCCGAAGACACCGCGGTTCTTTCACGATTGGAGGCTCGGAGCACGCGCGCTGAACGGGAGAAACGCGCCGACTCGTGCGTGCGTGCGTCCCGGAACGGAGAGAGAGAGCGTGCATACGTACCCGTGGTTGTCCGCGGGGGCGAGAGGCGAGAAAGCGGAAAAAGACACACCGAGGCATCTGTACGCACACGCACACACACACACACACACACACACCGTCATGGCGTTAACGTTAACGACGCGTGTCGAGCGTACTACGTGCTGTCGCTGTCGCGAAGCGAAGTGCCGGTAATACATAGAGCCAGTCGGAGAGCCGGGTGACAGATAGGAAAAGCGACGGCGACGTCGTCGTCGTCCGTCCGTCCGGAGAGAAAGGAAGAAAAAAAGAAGAAATATATATATATATATATATATATATTATATATATATATATATATATATATATATATACATATGTATGTGTGCACGTGCGAGAGTGTGTGAGGAGCAGCATTGTCAGTCGCTCTGCTCCGAATCTCGTCGTGGTCCGACCCTGCGCTCTCAACATCATCATCATCATCATCATCATCATCATCATCATCATCATCATCATCATCATCATCATCATCATCATCATCGTCATCGTCATCATCATCATAATCATCATCATCATTAATCATCATCATCATCATCATCATCATCATCATCGGCCTTCGAAGATTCGCGCTAGATCGGAGACGGGGACATGCTATGCAGCATCATCCTCCGTCGACGTCGATCGCGAGAAACGAACGCGGCTTCGTCTTCGTCGGCGCCGCCGTTGTGTCGCTCGCGAGCGCGCGCAGGAGGGAGCGAGACGGCCGCTTCTCTCCTCGCCTCTTTCGCTCCTTCATAGAGAGTGCGAGCACGCTTAACCTAAAATCCTCCTCTCTCGGTACGTCTGGTCGTTATCGGTGTCGTTCCGTCACCCGTCTCGTCTCTCCGCGTACGGGGATCCCGTTGTCCCGGTGCGCCGCGTATCCTCGATAAGGGACAAGCGTGGCTAAGCAGGGACAGGGACGCGAGAGCGTCCGAGATCGATCGCGGAGACTTTTCGATCCTCCTTCGACGCCGCGTTCAAGCTCGATCGCCGAACGCGACAGACCGAGACGGAGAGACTCTCGACTACCCAGGCGATGCTAAACTGCCATCTCCACCCGGAGTGCTTTCCCGTTCGGGTTTTGTTCGCGAACAGCGGGTGGTAGGAACTGGTGCTCTCACCTCCGGGTACCCGAATACGGTTGCATACGGTGTCACTTGGGTGAGTTTCTCTCTCTACTGTTTCTCGTCGAAGAGCACCTCTCCCTCGGTTTCAATCTCTCTAAAATGGAACTCTTCCTCTTTCTGCTATAGACTCTCTCTTCTTAACGTTGTCGCTATTGATGACCTGGCCAACCGACGACAACGACTGTGATCTCTGTGATTTTCTGGAACTGGTTTGTTGATTGAACGGAACTCTGTAGGGATAAGGAAGCTTGTGGTGGACAATACAGCGTCTCTGGAGGAGTTAGTGTCTTTCGTGGGAGTTGTACAGTTACGGAACATGCGTGTGATGGTGTACGGTGTGTTCTCTTAGTATTTGATGTTCTGCCTGCCGCTACAGCTGTGAGAGAACAGTCTCTTCTTTAGAGCTGCACTACTGTTTCACTGTTGTGTGCTCTGTCCAATTGCATCAGACTAGTGACGGTGATGACATGTCATCGTAAAGTGACTTGTGTGCGGTCAAGAGCCAACACCGAGCTTCACAATGGAGAAATAGGACATACTCGATGAAGAAATAATGCCTATGTAGAAGAACACATGTTCTGGGAATTGATGGGTATATGCTTTTCCTGCAGGAGACCAACCAGTGGCAGGTTGAACAGTAAAATCTCTGAACACATCTCAGCATCAGTAACCCCTCTCCATGTTTGTCTGGAAGAACAAAGAGGACCAGAACTGGGCTCATGTGACGCCTCGCAAGCTCACAGGCCTCAGGTGAGTTTAATCGATAAACATGAAGAGATGTTACAATTAATTATTGCAATCAATTGCAATCGAATTTATGTAACTTTCTTTTGTTTATACCTTTTGTAATAGGTTAAAAGGACCTTTAAGAATCAAAAAGCAGAAGAAGAAATTCCCGAGGAGGTGGCAGAGGGTAGTTCGATCGAGATTGAGACAGGAGAGTTAAGACAGAGTATGGCCAACACTATCAGCAACATGAAGATGACCAACCCCATAAAGGGGCTTGTCAGCAAACACCGTAAACGTTACACAGAGGGTGGTTTTAATCTTGATCTCACATGTATCCTTTTATTAAAATTATCTTTTTATTGTTTCTCTCTCTAGTATAGCTAAATAATAGAAATAATGAAACACTAGACATTTATGGGTAAACTAAATATGCTTTGAATAAATATAAATAAACATAGTTGATAAATACTATTGAATAGATTCCTTAATAAAAATTTTGATTTAGATATAAAAGAAAATTTAATAGCAATGGGTTTCCCAGCCGAGAAACTAGAAGGAGTGTACAGAAATCATATTGATGATGTTGTTAAACTACTAGAATCCAGACACAAAGATCACTACAAGATTTATAATTTGTAAGTTTTTTGTTCGAAAAATAAGTAATGTCATTTCTCTCGTAACAAAAGGGTCTTAGCATAATGTAAAAATGTTTCAGGTGTTCCGAAAGATCATACGATTGCAGTAAGTTCAAACAAAGAGTAGCCACTGGCATTTATGCATTTGATGATCACAACCCACCAAAGCTGGAGCAGATCAAACCCTTCTGCGAGGACGTGCACGAATGGTTATCTAAACACAAGGAGAATGTGGCCGTAGTTCATTGTAAGGCAGGCAAAGGTCGAACAGGCGTAATGGTATCCTGCTACCTACTGCACAGCAAACAGTTTCTCAACGCCACCGATGCTCTTAATTATTATGGAAATATACGCACCCACGACAAGTAAGTATGGCGTTCATTGAACTTTCGAACGGCATATCTCGATGGACGAATTTTTTACTTATTGAATTTTATTTTAATACAGGAAAGGCGTAACTATACCGTCGCAAATAAGATACGTGGATTATTATGCCACCATTGTCAGAGAGGGTCTCAATTATCAACCAGTGACATTAATATTGCGCAAAATACAACTGGACCCAGCTCCCATTTTCAATGGCGGTCAAGGCTGTAAATAATTTATATAAAAGTTTTACAATTTACATTATTGTTGACAATTGATATCTTTCTTTTAATTATTAGTTTATATTTATGCAAAAAGTAAAAACTTTTATCTTTCTTTCTCTTTAACTACATAATATTTTCCTTTATGACTCAATAGACTAGTATAATAGTTTAGTGATTGCTCTTATTATATAATTTACAAAATACATTTTGTGTCTTTAGGTTTGCGTTATATAATCTCGGAATCAAACAAAAGAATATTTTCGGGTATTTACGAGGTTCGGAAAGGTATGCCTTCTATATCCATTTCGTTACAACACAGTGTAGCTTTGACGGGTGATATACGAGTGGAGTTCTTCAACAGACCGAAAATGAAACCAAAGGTATGTACTTGTGCTTTAGTATTTTTTTTTTTAGTATGAAAGATTAATAAAACTTTTTTTTTTTATTATGTTTTCCAGGAGAAAATGTTTCATTTTTGGTTCAACACCTTCTTTGTGCGTGAAAAAGTAACTTCCGAGTATGACAATGGCGAGTTACTTGTTGAAAGAGCAACGAGAGCATTGAGTTGCGACGGTACAGCCATGGAGTGTCCGATGGTCGCGTCGCACGTGAAATCTAGAACGGGCTCGTTGGCGAGTCTCGGTTCTATGCCGCCTACTCTCGTTTTACGGATAGGCAAGTCCGACTTAGACAAAGCACACAAGGATACAAATAACAAGTTGTACAGTGAAGATTTTAAAGTAAGTTGCATTCACGTGATGATGATAGTATGTATATAGATGTCGGTCGTCTTATACAGTTATAATAATCTTAGCCTCAAATAATCAGCATTTTTCACATTTTGTCAATTATACACATAATTACAATCCACTTCAACACATAGTAGAATCAGATTTGATAGAATTTTATTCAGGTTACTGGTTTCTCGCCGATTATGTTGGAATTGTGACGTTAGAGGCGAGAATACACGCTAAAAATTCTTAGATGCCATTTTGAAATGAAAATATATTTCAGTGAAACAGCACTTCAGATAGTTTTAGCACACTTTTAAAATATTTTAAAAACTATTGTTTTCCCTTTATAATCACTCAACAGCTGTAAAATGACTGTAATATAAGGGCCCAGTCCATCTGGTCTTTGCACAAGCGCAGTCATTCCGCATGACAAAGTCTGATATCATGATCATTTCACGGTTGTTGATTGACTGTCAAAGGAAAAGAATAGTTTTCAAAGTATTTTAAAAATATACTAGTGACATCTAAGAATGTTCAGCGTGTGCTTTCTCGGCTCTGACGTCACAATCTAATGTGATGACGTCGAGAATCCAGAAGAATCCTCAGTTGCAAGCGTTACAGAGACTCGAGGTGTATATAGGACTCAAATGATTTTCTAATCATTTCTTTTTAATTGCAGGTGAGTCTATTTATGCATTGCGTGGGCGGAAGTGCATCGCCGGCTGTGCCAGCGACGACGAACAGGAGCGGGGACGGTGTGCAGCTGGGGATGGGTGGGCAGGAGACGCCGAGCGAGTCGAGCGAGGCGGACAGCAGCGAGTGCGACACCACCGGCGACGAGGACGGTTGGGAATCCGGTGAGTCCTCTGCATCCTTGGTGGTGAACCACCACCAACATCATTCTATTACACACAGCGATAGCCGTACACACGTTAGCGGTCTCCATTCGCGTATGAAGGAGACCGCCAAGGGTTTTCTATCACGTGGCGACAAGAGTAGGAACAGTAACAGGCAGAGCGTCGCCGGTGCGAGCGCGAAACGTTCCTCCGCTCCGCTTCTCGACACGTAGTAGTTTAAAAAACGAACGCTCTCGGTACTTAAAAAAAAAAATAATAATAAAATAAAACCGCGGTCTCCTGTGCTTCGCATTTTCGCGGAGTTGTGACGTTTTTTTTTTTTTCTTCATTTTTCTCATTTCCTCTTTGCGAAATCGTGTTAGCGCGTAAAGTGATGATTAGAAACCGGAGAGATCCATCGTACACACGACGGATTTTGCGGTAATTGCCGCTCGTTACGCCGCTCTTTCTTTATACGGTTATTTTCGTTTTTTCGTTCTCTCTCCTTTCTTTCTTTCTCTTTCTCTCTTTTCCTCCTATTCTTTATTTCTTTTTTTCTTTTTCATTTTTTCGTTATTACGTCGTGGGACCATAAACTTCATTTTTCGCATTGACGATTTGTGTCTTACCGACTAGCATATTATTAATTGTTAATCGATTCTTCGCGTAATGCTCGATAGTAGTTAATTATCGATAATGTGTATGCATCAAAAGTAAATTAGTTAGTAAATTGATGATTAGTTTGCCATGGTAGAATTTGATGTAAAGATCGATAAGTAGCAGCGTTAATTGTAATGTGATTTTTAACAAGTGGTAGGAGATACTCCCTTTTTTCAAATTTAGTAATTTGTATGTAATAGCAGTCTCTCCGACTTTCGTTATTTCTGATGAAAAATTCTAACGCACCTTACACACAGGAGGATGCATATTTTTTGCTTCAATTATGATTCAGATCATGTTTTTCACGCGCTTTGCAAACGACTGCAAATAGCATGGGCATTTACCACAATGAATAGACTTTTGAAGCATACTTTTAAAATTACATAGGACGCAATTACTATAAGTGCACACAAAGTAAATCAGTATCAATAATTTGTAATTCAAATACCAACAAGAGTAATTTAATACAATAAAAAAAATTTTTGTACCGGAAGTTCATTAGCAAATTTTTTTTCCATATTTTTTCTGCATTTTTAAAAAATAAAGAATAAATTACTCTAAGATTAGTATTATTTTGAAAACTGGAAAAAAATAATATAAAGTTATACATTAAATTTCGATAAAATTTAATTGTACAATTAACTGTAAAATTTATGCCATTCAAACAAAAATTTTTTTAAAATCCATTTCAAATAATCAATTTTTTTTAATATAATTGATTTTCATGTTTCGATATCATTTTTGAATAAACTAGTGATATCGCAGAAAGCACAGTATTAAAATCTACATAACGTGTTCTTTTGAAAATAATAATTTTAACACATGAAATATTACACAAAGCAGTACGATATTTTACATTGATTATAATCATCGAGATTGCGCGAAAATTCGTTTTCTTTTTATCTTTTTCTTACAATTTATTTACGTTTGCCTTTTTTTTAATAAGAGCGGAAGTATCGGCGTAATATTTAGGGGATTTAATTCGCGACGGTGTTTCTATATCAGTTTAAATAAAACTAGATTTTATTCATATTTTTTTCGTAAATAATCATGTAGAAAAAAAAGACTCAAAATTACTGTGTAAAGACGAATAGAGAACAATAGGTGATTTGTGCTAAAACTTTTTGGAAATTTGCGAATCGCGTCGATATATATAGAAGACAAACAAAAGGACATAGAATATACGCGATTATTAGGCTGTCCAATATCTAAAAAAAATTTTTTTTTTTTAAACACGATAATTCCGAGCTCGCGTTCTCGTGTACATCTCATTCGCGTCGTAGCACTCTATTTCATAAGAATAACGTTGCTCGTTGACCAGATGTCTTGTGATTATAACTACGTGATACACATGTATACATATAGCGTACATATAGACGTTCGAGAGATGCTGAGTGTATAAAAGAATTTACAAACGTATTACATTCGATTGATGTAAAATCGCACGGTTTTATACATTCTGAAAGATACTTGCTCCATCAAAGTAAAAAAAATCATAGTATCACTCATGAACAATTTTATTCATCATTAAGGGACTGCAAAAAAAAACAGAGATCGATGGTAAAATACAGTTTTAAGAAGCGGTGTTAAAACTGCTATTTTACTGGAATGTGATCCTGGATTTTTTAAATAGATTCAGGCATACGCGCGCAAGAAAAACTTTTTGTTTATCGTTCATTCGACGACGAGGAAGTACAAATACGTATAGAAATCAGCTTTTATATACCTTGTACGTTGGGATTAATAAGTCGCGGGTGTTGCTGATTATATTATAGATAACGATTTTTGTGTGTAATCAGATCGTAATAATAACTTGGATATAAAATGGAACTCAGACTTGCCAAGCACAGCGTATAAGAAAAGAAAAAAGATGAGGAAAATATATCTGAGTATAGATTTAAAACCGATTGTCTTTCTATAACTTGCTTTTTAATGTATACACAGAGAGAATTACGCGATACCTTAGATTTAGAGACGTACGTGACTCGTTACGTAGCGAATATATATGTAATATAAGGAAACACACACAAGTATATATATATATATATATATATATATATATATATATATATTGAGTAATAAACACATACGCGCACACATATACTGGCTTCGGGGTCGAACGTATAGTTATTATCTAATTGACTATCGAGATCTACGATTTTTTACTCGCGTTAAATCGATCACATGAAATTATTAAATATCGATAATTGTTATTCGATTTAATACGAAATATAGCAAATTATGGAACAATTTTTTTTATACAAGACTAGACTCGTGACAAAGTAAATTTTTCCTTCTCGCAACGATGAATCTGATTTTTATCACATAAGTCAAAGATGAAAAATAAGAACGAAAAAAGAGCGAGAAGATTCTGAAACATTTTTTGTCGTTATTTTATTAGTAATAAAGCGATTCTTATTGACAACTTTAAAAAACTACATTTTTCTGAACGTATATAATAATCACACTTATTGTATAAAATATTGTATGTGTAAAATCGTTTTAATTTAAATAAAAACGATATACACGTCAGGTTTTGTGGGCACAGAAAAAAAGAATGTTTTCAATCGTAATAAATGCTCGAATTAATTTGTCAAACGAACGACGGAATTCGCGTAGTAATTTCGATTAAAACTCTCGTTAAACTGAATCACCCGAAGCTAGAATTAAGTGTTTATCGCACGATTTGTAAATATATATAGCGATTAATTTTGTCCATGTATTCTATTCTCGTAAGAAGTAATTTCGACAGATTAATTCTATAGAGTGTATAAGATGTATAATGATGTACCAGACTTGATGGTTCATGGTTTTTATCTGTAGATTCTTCGAGCAACGCGGCATCAATTTTTCTTTAACAAAAATGGAGATCCTTTCGGGAACCAAACTTCAAAAATACAAATAATAAAATGCCTTATTTGTTATTTATTTTTAAGTAGATTTTACTTTAACGCGAATTTGTAATTTAGGGACCAGTTGCAAAGATATTTATAATAATATTAAAAATTGGACAAATAATGAGATTTTTCTCGTAATTTTGATTAAGGAAAAATTGATCCTAAGTCGAAAAATTTGTAGAAAAAGTAGTTTCACACTAGATCTGGAACATGAATTATGGGATTTATAGAAACTCGGAACATCCGTAACATAGTCCTTCTTTGAATTGTCTCAGTACTTTTGTCGTAGCATTGAGAGGTTGTACTGGATTTTTTGGAAAGCATGGATGTCGAATGTATTTTTTTAATGAAGAAGTAATTCAGTTTCATTCTTTCATTTTTTTCGACGATGCTTAGAACGAATAAACGGATGTCGAATCCTGTTACGTTTTTCCCACCACTCTCTCTTTTTTTTTTCTTTTTTTTCTTTTTTTTTATTTTAATGCTATTTTTCCTTATTTCTTATGTTGCATGTAAATAATTTATGTAATCGCGATTTATTTGAGGACAATGTTTGAAACATGTGTAAGATCTGTATAAGCAAAAAGAAACGTCTGTTTTAAATGTATAATAATTGTTTTGTGATACTATTCGTATATACTTATTATCATTATCATTGTTATATTATTATTATTATTATTATTATTAATATTATTATTATTATTATTATTATTATTATTATTATTATTATTATTATTATTATTATTATTATTATTATTATTAGTACTATCAATGTGTCATTTAATATATCAGAACGCTATTACTGTTACACACTATCGCTATTTTCCAATCACCATATTTCGCGAGAACGTTCTTTACGACTTATTACTTATTACTTAGTCTAATTGACATGTTAACGATTTTTCAATGTAATATATCTATATATGTTACGAATGTATTTTTCTGTAATTCGATATTTTTAAGAATAAGATTATACATATATATGTATATGTATGTGTATATATACATATATATGCATATATATATATATATATATATATATATATATATATATATATACACATACATTACGAGTACATGGTACTATACATTTTGTAACATTTTCTATTTGCAGCGTCTATTTCTGTAGAGAAAACATACATGTTACTTTTTTCAATCCTATCTTCGAACAATGTCTTTTCTTTATATTCTCACCCACTCTCTTCTCTCTTTCTCTTTTTCCGAAGATATTATATAGCATTTATAAACGTCCATAATAGCAAATACATTCAATGCTTGACAATTCCTGGTGCCTGTTGGAAAGATCGAAGTAATTCACGTTCGAAGTTGAATACGTTGAATAGATTAATTCCGCTAAAAGCTTGCATTTTATCTATTGCAATGAGTGTCATAACACCTGCTTTTTCACGTAGAAATATTACATATGCCGATTTAGATCGCAGTGCTGAAAAAAGACTGTCGAAG